ATCTTTATCATCAAAGGGCATTCCGAAAATATTAGGACACGAATTAGGTGACCTTATGGTGTTTGTCAGTAGGCATTCAATCAGAGGTCAGTAATAAAGCGCTAAAGCAAATTTTTAAAAACTGATGTGTGGGGCATTAGCTTCGAATTAGCTTTCTGTAAAGGAAATTTGGGCCTTTCCGTTCCTGACTGGACGGGAATTGGCTGACTGGAATTGTCCGAAAAATCCAAAGGACAAATTTTGTCAAGACAACTTTTTGTTTCGTCTGTTGCATTCGCATTAAGAATTTCAAAGCCGTCAAATTCCGTCAGCCCCTGATCAGTTCATAAGACTGGCCAGCATATCCAGGATTTATCCTAAGTCGTTGTAAAATTTTAGAATCCCCGTGTCTTGCAGCAAAAGAAAATTTTTGCCTTCCTAGTAAACTGATTTCAGTTCAATTACACGCTTGTCGTAGCTCTTACGACAAATAGTCGACAAGTTTATCACAGTTTTGTTTATTTAGTCGATTTTGTTCAGGTGTTTTTGCCGCCGTTTCGGCATCAACTGACATATGACCGACGGAGTTATGACGGACCGTCATATGGGAAGATTTACTCATATCTCGTTTTTCAGACACTTGAGGAGTATATTTTGTAGAATTTGGTAAACCTTTTAAAAATGAAAGTGTGAACACTAGAGTAACACGGCGGAAATAAGTAAAGACACTTTTTGTTAACTTGAGCCAAAAGATGGAAAAAGGATATATAAGCATCTGAAAAATGTTAACCCAAATTTCCTTTTCTTTTCAAAACCATGAAACATCCATGTACCCCTTTTACCTGAAAAGCTTGGTTAAAAAATAATCTTTTGTTTGACAACAGAAAGGCAAAGAAAGGTATCAAAGGAAGGTGGCTGTTTACTGAATACGAAGTGCTTATTTTGTGATACAAAGAGAATGTACCCAGATCGATCTCTGTTGTGATATCCTCACATGCTAAATTAACACAACCGTAGGTCAGACAATTCATGTCAAAATTAGGAGGTACACTGGAAGGGAGAGTAAATGGACGCATTGGTGAGACACACGCCCTGGTAGTTTGTTGATAACGACTGGTTTACTGGCATCAAGGGCAGTGTGCTTGCCGACGATAGGGAACCTAAAAATTGGCGGGAAATTAATCGCCTCTAAAGTGTACCTTGCAATATTACTAGAGCTCAAGTTTGGTTTGATAGTTTGACATGTTTAAATTTGTCGTTCAATTTCTGATGCCTTTGAATTCATTGACAACAATGCGTTGACTTCTGGAAGACTTGTGCAATCAATCGTTTGCCGGTATAAACAAAGATCTTTTGTTTGCCACTATTGGAGGTCCTACTTACGATTATGCAGTAATTATCCTTCTTTTTCTTTGCATTTTGAAATATAAAGGCCTCAATGCTCCCAAAAATGATCATATGTGTGATAATTGAAAGCTGCTTCGAAACAAATCGCAAGATATAGCCGAAAATTCTTCCAGCGCAACGGAAACTTGCCCGATCCAGTGGTAGACGTGACGCCGACTTACATGAACAATGGTGTCACGAGGTGTCACAAAATATCATCGATTGACCAATCACAGCGATAAAATAAAGCCATGTGATCCATCCACAATGTAGATGCTACTGCTACTCTGTGAGGCGCTCAGGAACATTGTGAGGCACTAAACGGGTGAGTATTGTAAGCTATTTGGCCGATTCCTGTTAAACTGAAGTTATTTAAGATTAACATTTAAAAGAGTCGATGAACGAAAGTTTTGGGAGCCTTCTTTTCTGAGGTTTTTAGAAGCAAAGCAAACAAGTTTGTTCGTTCGAGGCAATTGCAAACTCTGTGGCTGTAGGTCATATTCATTGTGCACATGTTCATAATGCTATATTTACGTGCACAATTCCTGGTTAAATTTGAATATTGTTGGGTTCTGGTTCAGTTAAGGTTCAGTTATGTTTACCTCCTGCTTGGAGTGTTTTATTTATGTCTACACCACAATTGCACAAGCAATCTCCACCATGTGCGCGTATTTCAATAAGATAAATGGAAAACTTGCGATTTGTTTAACCTTTGCTGTACCGTTAAAAATCTGGAATCGACTGTAACAGTGTATTGTTGTTAATTTCTCAAGTGTGCTTTTTCTTGGAGACGCTGATTTATTCGCAAATCGAATGGCCGTCACTGAGCAGAGGCATTCCAATGGGGTCTTCGATGTCGCCTTCGTTTACTCACAGTGGCCTATTTGGTTAAGGTCAAATGTCGCGGTCGCCTTTTTCGCTCGAATGAAAATGTCGCTGTCATTCTAAATTTGGCAATACTGTAATTTCTGACTTGTGCTAGAGCCTGTAAGTGTTTTCTTTTCAACATAAGATGAACCACATATCAATTTCTATTGGCTTGATTAGAACTAAAAATTACATAGATCACCTCAAGTCTTCGTTTTCGAGTTTCATTGTAGATCAGTGGCCTAGCTTTTTCTAGCTCCCCTCACGTACGTATTCATCTTTACACATAGTCATACAAGAACACAATTCTTTTTTAGATGAACGTCATAATATCATTTAAGCAAGGTTGATTCAAACGTTCCGCCATTGTCGTATGGTATTCGATTGACCAAGTAATGCTGACAAGTTGTTTTGACGGGCCTGCGCAACTCCTACCATTCCCATGCAATTTAAAATCGTCTCTCTTCAGAATGTTAATAGCTCTGGCAAGAATATCTTTTAAATGCTCTCCTTACATATTGCTCATGAAGCCATTTGGTTTTGAATGAGGTGCCATTTCTTCATCAGTGTTATATCGAGGTTTGTTGTAAAGTGTAGCTGAAGAAAGAAGGTGAAAAAAGACTCCTGCTATTCCCAAGGGATTTTGGAATCTTCCACCTTCAGACAAATAAATTACTCTGACCCAAATATCTTTGTAGGCCCGATGACAAGTTTTAGAGCTAGGTGGTGTGTTTGAGGGCATAATGTGTAAATTGATGGATGCCAAAGGTGCAATATTTTAGAGGGGGCTAAGCTCATGCTCCCCTGAAATTTTTTTGAAATTGGGTTGTGTGAGAATGCATTTTGTGTGTTTTAAGGGCCGTTTTTGACTTTCTTTTGAATCACTGGTATCAAGTAAATGGAGTTAAGCAGCCCATGGGAAAGGAGGATGTGGGTACACACCTATTGCACCCCTTCCCTACAGGGCCTGCTTTGTCTTGTTAGAGCGTTGATGGGCCTGTGTGACTAACTATTCACGAGAAGTTTGAAACCCTTTTTCTTCAGAGTTAAGCCCTGACCAGCATATCCTGTTATGACTTTCCCTTGCAATGTGATAATAGGAATGGCATCGAATACTATATTATAAAGCAGTTGCATCATACCATAAGATCTGGATTTTTTTTCCTATGCTTGCTGTCATGCTGGAAGCAAATCTTGGCCAATCTTGCAACTGAACTCATAACCAAGGGTACTTTGGTATTGTGTTCTGCCTTGAATTATTCATTTCACATTAGTATTTAAGTGCTGTCTTTTGCATGGAACACTGCACGCAGGCTGTAAGCTGGCTAGCCCACAGTCCGTGATCTTAATGTTTTTTAAGTCTCTCCATGAAATGAATGGTCATGGATGGGACTATTGGTCATTATCAATTGACTGACACTGCTAAATCTTAATATAAATGTGCTACAACAAAAACCATCATTTAAAGCACCTCGGGAATTATCTACAATTATTGCCCAGATTACCTTTCTTGTCTTTCCTTTAGTGACTTGTTTTGTCCTGTTTTACTCTTCAGAATGTGGTGGGATTTCTTCTTATCTTTCCCAATTTCATGCCAATATCAAAGGCAATACAGGAGTCTCCAGGTCTATCAATAATTTGCATTTGGTGTGCAAACACTTGTGTGAAACGCTATAACAGATGTATAATATGGCAATAGGTAACAAGAAACTGACTGTGGATGACAAGTGTTGAATATTAAACACATGAAATGGCAATGTGGGCTGGAAATATCACATACACTGTCATGGTCGCAATGTCTCCTGTCAAAAAATCAAAACGAAAAAATTGCACTTTGTCTAAATTAAAAATGGATTGTGGCTGTCTCAAAATGTGGCTCCTTGTCTGTTAGTTTTTGCGGACAGTTCATTGGAATGAGATTGTCACCACATTTTTTAGTGTTTTCCTTTTTTCAAATAACATCAGATTTAGGGTATGTATCTTGCACCAATCAGATTGCCACATTAGGGCATGTATCTCACACCAATCAGAGTATCATTTTTGCACTTTGGTTTGAGAGGTGTTCAAATTTCAATGAAGTAATGGGGGATTCTTAGAGAGCAGTTCACAAACTGGAATCATCTTTTAGAATGAGAAATGTTAGCTTTTCTGTGTTTTTAACATGTATTTTACCCTGCTTTATGAGAAATGTGATACAACTGGACAGATGAAAGATATCAGATTACCTGTAGAAAAGAAAGAGAGAAAATGGAGTCCTGTGCACTTAGCACAATCATGGTTATTGTTCCTTCACGAGGAGAGTGTGTGGAAAAATTTTGAATCAAATATTGCTTGAAGTGTTGATGAATTGCACCAAACATTTTGATTTGAGCAGTTCTTTAACAGCAAGCTGTGTTGCAAGATTCGTGATTTGTTATGTGTGCCAATTATATTTTTCTGGTTGGTTGGCTCGGTGCTATCTCTAGATGAATGTCTGATTAAAACTAACTATGGACGATTTTGTGTATGTTTTCGATGCCTGGAGAAAGTGATCTTGTGGAGTCATTTGTGTTTGACCAAGAATGAGTTCAGATACCATCATTAGAGTGTTTATTTGAATTTGTTATCTGGAATGAATGATTTATGGCGGTAAGTTAATATGATGTGATCTACTAATGTCAAAAATACATCAAGTCAAAGGAACAGTTTTGGTCTCAGTCCACATTTTTGTTGACAAAATAAACACATACTGCTTGAAAAGATAGTATGGACCTGTGCAAAGCTGTCAATTGTTTCTTGAATGTTGCACGTGTCAAATATTCAATAGTGACATCTCATTTACATCTACATCTACTTTTATTAAGTTGGCAAAATCTGTACAGGCATCACACCAACCAACTCGTGTGCAAAGCGAGAATACTATGTGAAGGCTTGAAATTATATTAAGATCGATTTTGATCAAGAAATGAGCCTGGAATATTCCACAATAGTGCAAATAATTGTGAAAGCTGATGGCAGGAAAGCAATTGCGTGATGCTCGATAAGTTGTAAAATGATGTCATCACATACCAGATGAAAAAACTCTTTAGATTCTCAGTCTGCATTTTGTACCCACTCTGCTGTCTACAGTTTGTACCTATAGTTTACAGTCTATGCAGTTTGCATTTTGTACTGACAGGTATCTGTGGCACCAATACAGTTTATTTTTGGGTACAGTTATTTGCACTACACACACAATCTACCACAAAATACCTGTGTGTGAGTTAATTCAACATTTTCGTTCTTTTCTGCATTAATATTCTTTCCTTTTGTGAAAATGTAGGTGTCACTTACAATGTTTTAAGTAATCCACCCACCCCATAAAAATAACTCTTGCATGCATAGCACGCCTATGTTTTAGTAATGTCACTTGTGGGCAAGACCCCTTGGAAGGCCTCATTACTCCATTGATATGATCCAGGTCTTGTCAAATAAGCTACCTGAAGGAGAAGAGTATGTCAATTGTTTGTTTTCATGTCTTTCAATGTGGCTCTTAAAAGTATATTATCTCTCTCAGCCTGAGTCCTCCATAAGCAGAATATGACTGGGAGGGCAAGGGGAAGAAGTCGAGGGCGCGGGCGAGGTGGAGGAGAAGCATCACGGCCTGGAGATGGCGCTCAGCAAGTTGCACCAGTTGTTGGACGTGGGAGATCCCGGGGTCCCCCACCCGGCCAAGTTCCACAACAGCAGCGACCAGTGGCACCTCCTATAGAGGCCATGGCTGGGATGAGCATGAAAGAACAGAGGCCTCATGTGCAGAGTACATCTGGTGCTCAAGAACAAAGACCGCCATGTCTGTCAAGAGATGTGGACGACAATGTTAATACCAAGCCAGCTCACCTTATTGATAAAAAGGGAAACACTGGAACAAGGATAGACTTGGTGACCAACCACTTCAAACTAAGAACCACAACAAATTTTGGAGTTTACCAGTACAATGTGAGCTTCAATCCGGAGGTTGAGGCAAAACGTGCTCGGATTGCTATACTTTCCAGCCAGCGTGATCTTATCGGGCCAGTGCGTGCATTTGATGGTATGATTCTTTATTTGCCAAGACGCCTTTCAGAAATTGAAACAAGGTGCAACGTTACCCGGCCACAAGGAGATGTTGTCCAGATGACCATAACGTTTACAAATGAAGTTGAACCAGGTTCTCCATCTATGCTGCAGTTATACAATATAATCTTCCGAAGGTTTGTTAAGTTTTCCATGGATTTGTTTGGCTTTGATGTTGTTTTGTTTGTTTGTATGTTTTGTTTTTACTTGAGCTAGTATATTGTCCACAATGTGATGAAATGAAACTTAAACAAGTTATCGGTTGAAGTTCAGTCATGTGAGGAAACCCTTTATTATTGTAGAAACTTGTTTATAGCAACTTTGAAAATCCACTTGTGAAGCTTGAATAATTGACAAGATCTCAAAATACTGAAAGTGAAAAATATTGGCTGACCAATGCAACAGGTCTTGAACCAGGTTTTTGGCATGGTGTAGTGAATGTGAGAGTTTTTAAAAACTGATTGTGACAAATATCTGTTTCCTGCAGGATTCTAAAGGACATTGGTATGCAGCAAGTAGGGCGAAATTATTACAACATTTCAAAGCCAATTGAAATTCCGAAGTTTGGGTAAGCAGGTGTAGTGCATGTTAATTGAAGTTTTCTCTAAGAATTTAAAAAAAAAATATGACAATTTGAATTTAATGTAGTTGCTTGTGTAAGTTTCACACTTGAGTATTAAGGTGCTGTTGATTGCTCAAATCAATTTTAATTTTACTTAGGTTGCAACTTTGGCCTGGTTATTCTACCTCAATCTTGCCATATGAGACAGACATTCTCTTGTCTGCAGATGTTTCACATAAAGTACTGAGAACTACAACTGTTTTAGAGTATCTTTATGAGCTATATGAATGCATGGGTCAGAGAGGGAATTTCCACATGGAGGCCACAAAGAAGCTTGTAGGCCAAATTGTTCTGACAAGGTATTGTGAAACAATTCACAGTGATTCTGTGAGCAGTTGAACCTAGATAATTCATATTTTTTTATTGTGTAGACTTGATTCCCTGGTCCATTCTTTTCTTTATAAACATTGATTAGTCACATTCAATGTCTGTAACAACTTTTTCTTATCAAGTGAAGCAGATGTACTGAATCAATGTTGAGGTAATTCCATTACAACAGCTTCGATGAATGAATTAGCGATGCGTACATACTGTAGCAGCTTGAAACAAACTGATTTATGTGAGAATTTTAAGTAGTAAAATGTTTTTGTAAATTTTTTTTAATTCTGTGGTAGATTTTGGTAATGATTCACAATTATTTTTTTTTTGGCTTGGGAAAATAAATATTTTTGGCTTGAAGGTAAGACACAAAGGGAACCCTAAAAAGGAACAACAAATTTGCGGTATTCAGTTGTTGGTGGGAAAGTCCATTTTTTTTGGTTAATCATTCCTTTATTTTTTGCAAAGAAAATCTGAAAGCTAAAAGCTTTTCAGGTGTCATTGTGTTAGTAAGGTGTAAATCTGCCCTATACAGTTTGCATATTGCCTAATGTCAACCATATATGGAAGTGGTCAGGTCACTTTCAAGGGGTGATAGCCCCGGGAATATGAGCTTAGGTCATAAGTGCTTCTGTAATCTACCACTGAACAGACCTATGGCAAGGTACTAGTGTCATGATAAACAGCAAATAATTGTCAATGGTGACATCATCAATTTGTGTCTGATTGGGTAAAGCCTCGTGTTTGGGAGAAGATAACACTTTCAAATTACCAGGAAATACATGGTGTCTTCAATTTGCTAAACCTTGCTTACATTCCTCATTTCAGGTACAACAACAAGACATACCGCATTGATGACATAAATTGGGAAATATTCCCAACCAACACCTTCCATGGAAGGTTCAAGGGAGTAGAAAGAGACATCACCTACGTGGAATATTACCAAGAGGTACAGTTTTGATACTTATTGTTAAATACCTTAAATAACTTTTTTAGTTTTATTTTATTCTACCTGAATATCAGGGTGTTTCATGATATCTCAAGGTGGTTTAAGTAATGTGTGCTTTTTTGAAGACTTACGACAAGGAAATCACAGATATGGAACAGCCACTACTTGTTAGCCGTCTGAAGAGAGAGGTGAGTTTGTTTTTGTTCCCTCTCTAGTTTTTGTGGCATACACCAGAGGTTGCCAAGAAATAGTTAAAGCAGGCAGTCATGGCCTAAAATGCACTTGGCCAGCTAGATAATAAAATTATTCCCTTGATAGGCAGCTAGGCCTCCACTAGTGAAGAGCCATTGCCTTTGTATTAAAGGCTTTTAGAAGGAACTTTACTGCTATTTAATTCTCTCTTGCATTATAATCTTTTGCACAAAATTTCCCTTTTATAGCCAGGACAGAAGACCAGAATCCCCAGTGGTGAACTTCTTCTGGTACCAGAATTGTGCTTCTTAACAGGTGACACTCTCTCAAATAAGAAACCAGTGAAATTGTACACTAGTAATGTTATAATGACAATAACATTACCTTACTAGTTCTAAAAATTGATGCAATTAAGTGTTAGCTCCTCCTTTTTGTTGTTTGGGTAGATTATGTTGGTCATTTATCTATTCTCATTCATCCTCAAGCATCTTTTACAGGGCCAATCTGAAATCCACTTAATGTGAGATTGCCTCTTGTATAATAGTTTTTATTAATGTATAGATTTAGCCAAGCCTGAAAGTGAAGCTCTTCTTAGTTTATTTTCCTGCCCTTCGTTGTAATTAAAACTGTAATAAAACTCTTCAGCACAAGCTGTCAAAGGGGTTCTTCAAGGTGATTTAGGAGGGTGGAGAGTTGATGGGGTGTAGAACCAAGGGACAATGTTCTCATAACTTTTAAAGCAATCAACACGCATATTAGTCAGTGGTATTTTCAAGCAGCTGAGGACCTTTGTTGGTGTTACAGATGTTTTGAACAAATTTTCAAGATGGTGACTGTTTTCTTCTTTAGATATAGTGTATGATGTCAGCATCAGTGGAAATTCTATCCTATTGAGGGTGACTGATAATTTTGGTGTGGGAAAATAAATAAAAGTTGAAAGGAAAGTTGGTTAAAAAAAACTTTGAGTTAAGACATCACCAGTCAATTGAAGAGAATATGCATGAGAAAAGTGAGTCAGTAAAACCAAAACACCAGAATTGTATTATTTATTATATATTTAATTATTATATATTATATCTTCTTTTGAAGTTGCCAGGCATGACTGCTTTCTCAGCCATTTTTCTCTAATGCTTCAGCCTCCTGTTATAAGAGCAGAAAATTGTAAAGAAAAGTCATATTAAATTTGAGTTTAAACCTGCTATTTTTTACTGATAGTGACTGTTATAGGTAAATATCCAGAGGAGGATAAAAACTAAGATTTGGTCTGCACAACTCTCTTATTTTTATTTTTTAACCTAAGGCATTTATATTATTGCTTTGTGCATTAAGTGGTCACATATCAGTCTAGTTCACTCCTTTTTACAGCTATCTTCAGCTGAAGGTTAACAAAACTTCCCGAAATGTGCTTTAACGATAGTGCCTCTACAAATTTAGAGCTTATAATCACTTATGAAATTCTGACATTTTAACTCAATGAATTCACCAGAATATATCTGGGAAGGTTACAGAAACTGACTTGTGAATTCTTGCTCTTGAATTCGAAACTTTAAGGCAACAATAATTATTATTTACTTTGACCATGTGCACACCAGTGTGCTTGTGAGCTCAAATTGCCAGAACCCTGTTTGAATACATGATCACTGCTCAGATGCTTCGTGCAAAATGTACTGACAATCAATTTCAGAGATTAATTCTTTAGGTTACAGCATTAGGAGAAAATTATTGAACTGCAAGCATGTTCATCATAACCTGAGCATCCAGTATGCCTCGAAATGTTGTGCAAAGGGAAATTGGCTCCATGTTTTGTGAGACAAAGCATTTCCTGAAGTTTTGCGGTCTTCAATTCTCAGATGTTTGACAGGTTCTCTCATGACAATATTGTCAAAATCATGATACTGCGTCAGACTTATGTAAACATGAAATTGACTGACATCCATCTCATTTTAATTCAGTTTTTGGAAAGTACACATCTTCAACAAACGGCGATTTTTTGAGTGAATAAAGGAAACCCTGTGATAGTTAACTGAAGAGAGAATTGTAGAAATTGCTCACCCTGTTCACTATTATTTTCACCCTTCCATTATGTAATGGCTAAAATAGTGACCACAATGCAGTTGGCCTGGCATGCTGAAAGTTGCACCTTGTATGGTGGGTCGTATGGTCATAAGTCCTAATTTTTTTACTTGATGGGTTACTATTTTCTATAATCATGGGGCTACACTGTGCACACTGCAAGCTCTGATATTATTATTCTTATAATTATTATTATTTCCTTCGCCCCCATAATGTTTTTTCCTAGCATTGCCATGTGTTCTTAGTTTTAAATGGAAATTAATCTCCCTTCAACAGTTTATAGTTTATATATTATTTTGCCCCCACTGGCCCAGGTTGAACATCTTTCTTTATTATAGTTGTAGTATGATGGCCCATGGTTTTAATTTAGAAAACTCTTTTGTAATTTTTCCTTAACAGGGCTAACCGATGAGATGCGTAATGATTTCAGTATGATGAAGGATCTGGCAGTTCACACCCGTGTAGATCCTATGGCACGCAACAAGTCCTTGATGACGTTTATTGACACAATAAGCAGGTACATCTGATGTAGTTGTGTAAGTCAGGGTGTGCATTTCTCCTTGTGAAATGTTTTATGCAGGTATCATGACAGGTGAAGTTTGCTGCCAATAAATGTCCTTTTCTTGGAATGAAAACACCCTATTATGACTTTGTTGGTACTGTGGGTGCATTTTGTAGGCTAAAATATATTTTTGCATATTTCAAACTGTTTTGTTGAAATCTTTCTCAGTTCTTATATATCAGTCAGTTTGAAGCTTCCACACCCCATGTAATTGGCATATAATTTTTTTCATTGCCCTCCAAAATTATAATGATAGCAAATCAGGATATATTCTTGGACAGAAAAATGATTTGGGCTGTTATCCAAGTCATTTTAACCCTAATAGCTTGAGCTAACCTGACTAAGTGGGGCCAAAACATAAAGCCTTATTGTTTTGTCATTTTAGTCTCTCAAAAAGGCTTTAAATTTTTCTCAATGAAATAAAATCTTTCACAGGGTTAACCATATTGAGTTCATGTGTAAGTCCTTTTACAGGAAAATTGGCTCGGAAGTGGCAGTTATGTGTTAGTAAACTTCTTCCCAGAAACAGAGCATGGCTTTTTTTTTTTTTTTTTTTTTGGGGGGGGGGGGTCTGTTTCAGTCGTACAGCCTCCCCTTTAAAAGAAATTATTTACATCAGACATTAAGGATATCAATTTTTTTTTAAACAGCCCTATCTTGGAAACCCTGGTTTAGGTTGATTTGTAAAAACACATTTTATCTTTCCATCTAAGTATTTTGAATGCAGATAAAAACCAAGTTATCAGAAAACAGTTATTTTAGATGTAGAAATTGCTTTAAATTGCAAAAGAAAGAGCCATGTCAAAGTTGTGTAGTGTTGGAAGATGCAGGCAATTATTAAAAATCATGTGAGTATTCTAATATCCTGGCATTTCTTGAGATTGAATTGATTATCTAAATTTATTTTAATGTCTTATTAGATCAGTTTCAATGGAAATAGATTCAGTTTTACTAGTGTGTTCCTGAATGAAATTGAAAAAATACAAATGTTTAATTAAATGGTTTTTGGTATGTGTAATTAAACAGCCTTGAGCCATTTAGTGACACATTTTAGTAATTGTTGATCATTTTTCCTCATAAAGTAATTCAGATGCATCAGCAGAATTGTCTGGATGGAATTTAGAGGTAAGTTTATAGCCATTTCAAGAAAGTGATAATTTTGTAATTTAATGTAAAAGTAAGATGTTTTCACTCTACAATAAAGATCGCTTTAAAAAAATTAAAATAAAAAAAAATAGAGTCCCTCTAAAAAGAATAACTCCTGACTAAGGGTGCTCAGGTTCACCCGTGCTACCACTGAATTATGGAAAGCATTCGGGTGAAGGACACAGTCATCAGGTTCCTGATTGATGCATGCTGCTTACTGTATGAACAAGATAAAAGTTGGCTATAAAAAGATGGTAAATATTTAGCTTGATTACCTGAAAAAAGACTATATGGTTATTTACTGTGCAATGTGTTTGTTTTTCTTGTCTCATCAATTTCAATTTAAGCAAAGGTATGCAGAATACTATTAAGGAGTCAGTGGGTTGATTTATAGTAAATGGTCACTTGATGCAGAGTTTGGTAAAATTGCACAAAATTCCCTTCATTGCACCTTCTGTGAAACAATTTCAACCACATGACAGCCAAATGCATATAGATGTACATCTTAACATCTTCATCTTTTACGTTTTTCATTAAGTAGAATGAATACATAAGCATGGATAGATAAGGAATTTTTTCTCCATCTCTACAAGCAACTCTAGTATTTTGTTTATTTATAAACACCATAAACCTTTACTAGTAGAGTAAAGTTATTGTGGTTAGTCCTTAGCCATTCATTTGTTGACCTGAAAGAAGGGCAATAGGCAAGTGATCTGTTAGTAGCTGACTGGCAATATCAACACCTATAAAAACATTAATGTAAGTTTACATGTGTGCAGCTGCTGCTTTCCTCCAGTAATATCATAATTGGGTTTTTGTTGCAGTTTGAGAAAAGGACTCTTCAGATGTCAGGAAGAGTTCTTCCTCCAGAAAAGATTTTCCAGAAGAGTAAGAGTGTAAGTTGTTTTATGAGTTTGAGTTATTTTTTGCTGTCAAGAAGTTTTCCAGGTAGAGCTTTATTTCTATTCAGAGTTCATGATTTAATGTAATTTTTCATTTTGCTTTCAGTTTTCTTATGATCCAAAGACTGCTGATTGGTCAAGGGAAATGCGAGGAAATCCACTTCAAAGCACTGTAAATCTGGACAGCTGGCTTCTTATATACAGCAGCAGGGACAGTGGAAATGCAAAAGATTTTGCACAAACTTTGAGCAAGGTTTGCGGTCCAATGGGCATCAAAGTCTCAAAATCTGTTGAGTAAGTCTCAATTTGTGTTTAAGATGTTGGTCACAACTGTGTATGAGTTTAGGCTGTAATGTCAAAATAGCCACCTTTGAAGTAAGTTTTGATCTCCATTCTAGCCTCTTGGAAGTTTTCAGAGTTCATAGTTTTAAATGAATGTGAGATTAACTGCATTTTGATTGTTGTTAGTCAGTTTATTTTTTCCTTATGGTCAGTTCATAAAGGGGGTTTTTTTTTTTTTGTTCTTTTCTTCATGGGCCAAATGTTGCCAAGTTTTTTTGTTGTTCACCTCAAACAAAGTATTTATTTTAACTACAGTTTCTGAAAAACATTTTTGTAAAAAATTGAAACGCACTCGAGTTATTTACAAAAACTTTTTTCCAAACTGAATTCTTTAAGCTGCCAAAGCATTCCCAATTGGACGAAGTTCTGTCACACACAACTGCAGAATAGCTTTCCACATACCATTGTTTTATTGGCAATGACTGCAAGTGGGCAGTCATTGCTGCTATGGCAAACATGAGTGCAGCAACCTTTAACAAGGGCATTTTGTAAATCCCCCTGAGTGCCTAACAGCATGCAGAATTTGATGGAGAAAATGTAGAAAATTTTCATTTCCTCTAAGACCTCTGATTCTTATAGAGAATAGTTCTTAAGGTGTCCTTTTTTCACCCTCCCTTGACAATTTCTTCTCTATCTCTCTCACGTTAAAATGTGACTTTCCAATAAATACATCAAAATTACTTTGAGACTTCTCAGTGTATAAATTTCATGTATGGTTTTTTTTTTAATAAAAACAACAGTGGCAACCTAGATCCTCTCTATGTTTTCCATAGCCATTGGCCAGCAATTGATACTGGTTCTGCAAAACTTTGGTAATGGATGGAACAATTAGCTTTAAGCCTTGCAAGTCAGTTAAGGCATAAAGTGTATTTTTTTTAGTGGTCGCAATTTATTCTTTACTTTTCTTTAGATGCCAGCTCAATAATGACAGAACTGAAAGTTACCTAGATGCCATTAAAGGTAACTTCAGTGATTCACTTCAGATGGTAGTAACTATTTTGACAACAAACCGCAAAGACCGCTACGATGCCATTAAGAAGTTGTGTTGCTTGGAAACCCCAGGTAAATTTTGTAACTGTCTTTGGTGGAAATAGTTTTTAATGATATAAATAAAACCAGTTTCAGTCGAGAACATCAAGTGTTCTGTTTCTCTGGGTTTATCAGACAGGTCTTTGATTTATATGTGCATGTAACTGCATGGGCCCTGACAAGGGCATTTTGGGAAAACCTTGGAATTATGAGAGAATCTAATACGTAATGGCCCAAGGCATTTGCAATTACTTGTTTCTCACATTAAGGGGAAAATATTTTTAGGGAATTGCTTCCTGCACCATGTCCAAGGAATGAAGCCCTTTCGATACTGCTACAAACGTCAAAAGAAGCATAACTTACCAATAAATTCAATGAACATTTTCTTCTAAAATACAGTCAATAACATTACACTGCTTCATTCATTTAAATTGCAATCAATAATTATTGTTGCAAACAGCAAAAAGGCTCAATCAGCATCAGGTAATTGTTCCCTCTTGATTACCAAAAGTTCCATCATGATTAAGAAAAGAATGCCCTCTGTCCAATCAGCATTCAATAATTTTGTCCTGCATGTGATAAGTGTGTCAATCATACTTTGTTTATGAGGGATATAAAAACAAGCCGGTGACCGTTGGATTTCCACTGGCCACTTGATAACTTGTCGCTAGTTACTCTGGTCAAAAATTGTTATTTTTTACTTTTTGGCCCTGTATGAACTTTTCACAGCTACCTACTTTTTCAGAGTCTGGTGCCTGGTATGTCATTTATCAACCCAACAATGGAAGTGGACTACAGCCTCTCTATTTTAAGCCATAAGGCTAATAATGCCTCCTTATGTTGCTGGTTGATTTAATTAAAATATGTCTAACCACCAATTCTTGGCAGAAGTTTGGATTTTTAGTTGTTTTCCTGTTATTTATTTCAGTTCCATCCCAGGTCATTGTTGGCCGAACCATCTCAAAGAAGAATATGCTAATGAGTGTATGCACCAAAATTGGCATCCAGCTAAACTGTAAACTTGGTGGTGAAGCATGGGCTGTCGAAATTCCTGTATGTTAACTCTTTTTACATGTACATCCAAGATCAGATTTTGAGATGTATCAGATTAACACCTTCTACCAGATTACTGGGTGGTTGCAAAGTATTAAATTGGTTGAAAAGGTGTGGAAATTATGATGAAGTCTTGAAAAGTGGGAAGGGAAGTAACGTGTTTATCACATCCATGCTAAAGCCTTTTTCGTTGATCACAGACAATAACTAATTTTGAAGTAAGCTTGTCAAACAGCACTAGTGTGAGTTTAGTTGACATTGCCAATGCTTTGTTTTCAACGGCATGATAGTTAAGTTGGTCCTCATCCAGGCAGCTAGGTGCAGAAAGATTTTTCTACTCAGGCACCTGGTTGAGAATAGCTATTTATGTTTCATTATCAGATGGAACAATTTGGTTGCCAAAAAGACTTAATTGGTGAATTTTGCCTCAAGGTGATTCCTCAGAGAAAAAAGTTATTTCATGTTCAAATGTTCCCTACCAATGTCTGTTTTAAAAAAATACAATTTAAAAGATAGGTTACAGTGCTTGTTTAATAGATATGGTGAGCCAAACTTACCCCACTTATACCTGTTCTGGCACTAATCATGCACTTCATTTTAATGGTTCACGGTACATTTTTAAGTTACTGGAAGCAAGGGCATTAAAAGTAAAATTTGAAAAACACTTGATAGGTAGAAAGTCTTGAGCACATGGAACAATTTGATATATAATATGTGAAAAATTACACAACTTTAAACAACAACGACTCAAAACATTTCTCCAGTTGTTGCTTTGAAGATCGTAATTTGCATCAACAAGTAACGGGCTTTCGGAAAATTTTTTGCTATATCTTTTTTTTTCCCTTTAATGAATTTTTAAAATTTTTCTTATTTAATGGGGATGATTTGTTCACCAAAATTATGCAATAAAAATATTGGCCACTGTGCTCATTTACGAGCTAAAGACCATCATTATGGTATGTGTATTAAACAACAATACTGCTCCTGCTTATTCGCCTGATTGAGTCATTTTTATGTGCAGTACAGGATGCACAGTGAAATACCGAGGAATCACCTAAAGGCAAAATGTGGAAGTTTTGAATGTGTGTGTCTGCTTAAAATGTATCCCTGTGTGGACAAGAGCATGAAAAGAGAGAGATAGAAAGAACATTCCACTGGTTATGATTAAGACAAAACTTAGTTGAAATTCTGCCTCATTAAGTGAACAATGAAATGCACATAGTTCTGTAAATAATAATAAATAATAGATACTTTTTAAAACACAGTGGGCTATAATGATAAAGAAAGTTGTAGGTATGAAAGAATGATTATTTGCTGATTTTGTTCTCATCCCTCTTACATTTTCTTCTAAATTGACATAACTGTTGTTAATTTTCAATTCCATGGAGCAACTTTTTCCTTTTCAGATGAAGAGGACTATGGTGATAGGAATTGACACTTATCATGACAGTCTGCAGAAGGGCCGCTCTGTTGGTGGATTTGTTGCAAGTACAAACGCTACCCTCACAAAGTGAGTAATCCCTTTTTCCCTTATTTTATTATTGTTTCTATTATTATTGTTATTGTTATTATTATTATTATTATTATTATTATTATTATTCTCAGTTCTGTTTTGGCGGGTGGAAGATGACGGCTTCATCAATAACTTGCCAGAAACATCTATTTAGCAATCACAAAATTATTGGCTTAGTGGATCCATATTTAGGCATTGACTGGTATTCCTGGGGTAACAATTACTAGACGAAACTGAGGATTGTGGGGATGGCCTCTTAGCTAACTGGGGTGTTGGACAAACTTTGTGGACATTTATCAGCACAATTTATCTATGGGGTCTTGTTTGGTCTGCCAACCAGACCATTCCTCTGACCCCTACCTAAGATGATGACTGACCTAATGCCTTTACTGTTATTATTTTTTTAGGTATTATTCAAGGGTGACTTTTCAACATACGGGAATGGAGCTAATTGATGGTCTAAAGACTCTTATGACTGGTATTTCAGTTTGCATCTTCATTTTCATATTTTTTGTGTTTCACTAACAGTAACAGGAGGTGTCATTCCTGGACTGTGTAGTCAAACTTCAGGGGTTTGTTTGTTGGTTGGTTTTGCTGGCCCGTTTTTTTGTTGTTGATGTTGTTGTTGTTGCATTTTTTTCTTAGAAAAAGTTGCTTAACCTTTAATCCCAATTGCATTTAGGGACCCTGCAGTCTTGAATCACAATTTTGTAATGAATGAATTTCATTTAACCTGCTGGCTAGAATCAATCAATCATTGGACAGAATTTTGGTTACTCTTGTAAAGTTTTGGGTAAGGTAATTAAGGTTTTGAAAGAATTGATGGTTCGGAAGGAGGCTTAGACCATGGATTCTTTCCTGTTTTGAAATCTCAGTGTGGACATATGAAGTGTTCACTTGACATGTTCACGAGGGGTCTTCTCTGTATAAATCCTGCCTTAAGTGTTGTTTTCTGGGAGCCAGTATTTATTTCCACTTTTCGTTCGATTCTTTTTTCTAAACAGCACAATTTGGATGAAACCAACAGTACGAAATTTAAGGAATCAGAATTAGATTGAGCTGCACAACAAAATTCAAAATGTGGTTGCTGTTGAGAATGATAATCAGCTATATGCTCATTTGAAGTTAGGCAACAATGGAAACGAATGGCAAATCACAATATTGCTACGCTTTATCTTCAATTTCACAGCTGCTCTCAAGAAGTACAGGGATCTGAATGGTGGCTTGCCAGATAGAATCATTGTTTATCGTGATGGTGTTGGTGATGGCCAGTTGAAAACTGTTGTAAACCATGAAGTTCCACAACTGAAAGCATCCTTCAAGGATCTTCCAATAGATTACTCGTAAGAAGTTCAAAATTTATGTATGCGTAGTAATTGAAATGTTTTCTGATAGAATTTGGATTCATGCTAACGCTATGGAAGTCCTTAAAATTTTAATTCAGTTTCAACTTTAATTTTGTACTGTAACCATGACCTTGTTTGAGTTACGATATGATAAAAAGTTTACATGTGGAAAATAACTTTTTTTGTATTTTTTTAAGTTGCTTACAACAAATCAGGTACTTATCTGTGGTAAAAGACAGCCTGTTGTTTCACAATCTGGTGCTCGAAATTAGCCTTAGCAATTTAAGAAATATTTGTAATTACGATAACTTGAACCGTTATTGTTGTTTAGACCGAAATTTGCAGTGGTCATAGTGAAGAAGAGGATCAGTGCAAGAATCTTCCACCAAACTAGTGTTGACGCTCTGAGCAATCCACCTCCTGGCACTGTAGTTGACTCGGTTATCACAAAGAAGCAGTGGTATGCCTCAAATTAAAAGCAGTCGAGATTTTAGTTTTTTTGAAAATTTTAGCCCATGAAAATCACAGTGGTTAGAATATGGCCTTGTTTTTCTTATAAGGTATGACTTTTTCTGTGTGAGTCAGTCAGTTCGTCAAGGAACGGTGTCACCAACCCATTACAATGTGATCGAAGACAGCACTGGTCTGTTGCCAGATCACTTCCAGCGCCTCACTTACAAGCTAACACATCTGTACTATAACTGGCCGGTGAGTTAAATCTCTAATTTTTTTTTTTTAGTTGACAGTTGAGGCTGATAACTTTGTTGTGACACAAGTATGTACTTGTTGCATTGGGAGGGTAATTATTGTGACGAGAAGTGAGGAAATAGGAAAACCAAAGACCAATATGAGACAAAGAAAGAAACACTTGTTTTGTAAGAGAGGAGACTGATAAATAAAAGTATGGTGATAAAAGTGGATTACTCAACAGATTTAAGGGTGTGAATCAGGTCAAAGTTTTCTTTCAAAAGGGTTGAACTACTATTGACTTGGAAGTGTTTTATTTAAACGCTCACCCCTAATAAGAATTAGGTAGCCAAATCTTTTTATTCCATGGTTAAATATTTCTATTGCGCATACATTTCTAATCAAAGTTCTTAACCTTTTTAGGGCACCGTACGCGTACCAGCTCCTTGCCAGTACGCCCACAAATTGGCTTTCCTAGTTGGACAGTCACTCCATAAGCCTCCCCATATTGAACTCGCCGAAAAACTGTTTTTCCTCTAATGGTAGATGTCTGCCGTGGAAAAGTGTTAAACTTCGTTTCGGTTTTCTCTGCTCTTCATATCACCGTTAGTCCTAATGAAGGACAAGATGACAGTTGTTGCGTTTTGTTGGAAATTTGATTGAATACAGTTAATATAAACGGAGGGAAGTTATTCATCGGAAGTTATTCATTACAGCATGGAGACACTTTTTCCTCTCTTAGGGAAGAAAATTTAAACCCATTTACTCCGTTACTTGATCACTTTTTTGATCACATGTTTCTATTTTCGCAGAAATACTATTAAATTGTTGTTTTGAACATTGTTCAGGTTTGATAATATTGAAGGAGACAATTTAAGAACAAGTCTTTGTGAGAATCGAACATCTTGGGGAATGAAAATTTTCAAACCCCTTTCAAATTTTGCGTGCAGTTAGGAACTTAAGGGGGTGCACAAAAATGCCTTTTTATAGGTCGCAGCACTGTTGTTGCCATGGTAACAACGGCTCCTTGTTCGAGGCCTGGGGCCTCATTTTCAAATAAAAACGTAGCAAAAAAAAGAGTGAAATGTTTATTTCTCTATCTCAAGCTAAATACAACATTACAAATTGGCACTTCTACCATACATAGTGACATCATTCGTCTTCATACATTTAATTTTCCCAGGGAGTGAATGTAAACACACCGATAGATTATTTATCTCCGTACTTTTTCGGTCATTTTTGTTGTCGGGATAAACAGGGAAAACGTTTATCTGAATTTCTCCAAAAGTGCACCGATTCTGGAGCTGAAACTTCCCACCTAGCTGGTTAAATATTATAGTTTTTAAATATATAAAAATCTCTGCGGGCCTGCCTCTACTTTATTTAGCTTAAAATCAGATTTTGCATTATTTGGCGATGTTTACATCTAATGTTCTCAATAACAAACGTTTCATACGAATGAAAAGTGCGAGGCTTTAAAAGAATGTTATCTTATGAGCAATATCCCGAAGAGAAATCTCGCTTCTGGTTGTCATCTTTTAAAAAAAACTGATCAACCTTCATGTAGGACAACTAGACGTAACTACAAACATACCTCAAATCGTGTGCATATCATCCAAATTCCGAGTACTGCACCTTCTTTCGTGGAAATTTGCGCAATCCGAAATCCTCTGAAGATACACTGTTATACTTGTGTGTTATTTGAAACATATTGAAGTCGGCTGATCTACACGAAAGTATCCTTACACCGGTCAGTTGTCATAAACATGTACGTCATCACGATGGAGTGACGCTGTATTTCTCCCTGAAGTTTCATCGTTAACTACGTGGGGTATTCACTTTTCACTGTTCCCTCCTACGACTTGATGAAACAAACCCTCCTAGTCTTGGATTGAGTTTGAAACGAAGACATTGAACTATTTGATGTTGTGGTTTGAAAATTAGGCGACATAACATGGGGAATACTTTAAGTACACTTAATTGCATCCATTTTGAAATCATGGGGGATCCTTGCAATCTGATTAGTACTCACCGGGACCGGGCTGCGCTTTACTCACGAATCGCACCAACTCCTGCTCAAACGGGGTAAGGTTAGTAACCAATCAGATTGCAGGAAAATGAAAGACAGCTTTTGTAATTGTTTACAAACCAGCTCAAATCTGGATCAACAAGATATTTCTACAGACCAACTAGTCTTGTATTTGAGCCACTGAATTTTGCTATTTCAAATGGGATGTAATAAGGTGGTAACTCGACTTCTTATCGTGCAATTTTTTGTCTGCAATCACGTGTATGATATCTGAGACAAAAGTTCAGTTACCATCTATAATCATTGAAGTGAAGGTGCTAGCCTGATGACTTAGAAAAAGAAAGAGAAAGTAGCTCAAACACCAATGGTTAGAAAGCTAAAATGCTTTATACTTACTCCTGACATGAAATTGTTGATAGTCAGAATACTAGGATGATTAGAAAATTTGATTATGACTCACTACTAGGCAAAAGAAAATTGACCCGTGACAGTGCCAAACGAGGAATTCGAGTTTCGGTTCTTATAATGTTGTACAAGGTGTGGCTATTGAATTGTAAATGCAAATTGAGAAAGGGTAAGTGACAAGATAATTTTGATTACTTTCTATTGAGGAAGACGTGATTCTTTCGTTGCAAATTTTATTCGTCAGATAAGTTGGTGATGAGAAAACCGGAAGTCACGGAGGGAGGGCTCGTATCCCCCGCTCCAGGCTGTTCCCATTCCCAGGGATTCGCCTCTGTAAAATGTAGACCATAGGTGCTTCTAAAACGCATGACCCTTACGACTCGGAAATTTTTCAAATTCCAAAAGAAGACCCTCTCCGATAGTACGCATCTAACTGAATGGATAATTCGGACCTGTTTACATAGAGGTGGGGGATTCCGGGTAGTTGAGATAACCTGCCTAGGTGGGGTAACCCGCCTGTCCATATAATTTCTTATTTTATTTCGATCACGCTTACATGAAAGGCGGGTTGCCCGGTCTGCTAGATAGGGTAACCCTGTCAGCCGGGGTGACAATTTGCCATGTTAACGTGTCAAGGTGGGGTAATCCGCTTAGCCGGGGTCGCGTTCATGGAAAAAAGCTCAAAAGCGAAACGTGTGTTTTAAAACTTTGTACATTCCCTAGCCGTCTCATGGCAGAAATCACCAGAAACTACAACGGACACACAAGGAGTATAAAATGTTCACATTCGGAATATTTAGCGTTGTAAATCGACCATATTTGGTTTCCCAAACTATTCCGTATAACGTATTAAGTCAACGGTTTCTCGCGAAACCAAACACTGCGTAACACAACGCATAACGCTTTCATGAATAAATACATATGTGTCCGAGAATTAATGTTTCGTCTTTTTCGAGATGTGAGCTTGGGACACCTCTGCTCAAACTCCTTCATTGCAAGCGCAAGAACACCCCAGCACCCCGGGGCTGTAAGATTGCATATAAACGCGTTTTATTTTTCGGTTTCGGCTAGGCGGGTTACCTCACCTACTTGGGGTCCCCCACCTCCACGTAAACAGGCCCTTAGTTTCCTCGAGGGCTTCTGTGTTCAGATTCAAATTTTTGAATGAATATTCAAGCTAAAGAGAGTGGCATTTTGCAAGGGTGATAATGAAAGCAACGATGACAATAATAATACGAATAAAGAAGAAAATTTAGAGGACGATGACCACAATGATGATGTTGGAGACGAGCATGATGATGTCAACGATGACTAAAACATGAGTACAATTTAATGACATTCCATATCATGAATACTCTTGATAATACCAAATCTGTTGGAATATACAGAACGTGGAAAGCACACGATATCTTAAGTACTGATTAAGCTTGACTGACGGAAAGAAATGCTGCAAGGGTGTCGTTTGTCATCCACTATTTTACCCCCATGGCCACATGACCACAACTTCTCTGCAACATTTTCCTATCGGTCACAGTGGTAGCGTTCTACCTTCCGCCCCCACGCCCACGGCAAAGCCCTTTTAAAGAAAAACTCGTCACACCAGACACAAAGTTTGGAAACGTGGGATATCACTTGATGAACATCACTAGATATTCCCCCAATTTCAGCTCGAACTGATTGGATTCAAGTGAAACATTTGACAGGTTATTTAAACGCCACACTGATCACTGCAACATAGCGTCTTTCAAGTCGGGGTATATAAGCAAACAAGGTGTGTTAAAATAGGAGCGCTGAGCAGAAGAAAGAGAGAGAGGCTTGAAATGCGACCTGTCCATTTAGTCCCCTTTTTTCTGGCTGTGAGCTACTTTCGCGGCCCTAATACTAACTTAGCGCCTGGTATGGACTACCTGCCGCAAGCTGGTTTTTCATAGCTAGCCACAACGACTGCCAGTTACGAAGTTCAAAAGAAAAAGTTAATGTTGTATAAAACATCTCTTGTGAACACACTTTCTTTTTGGGTGTAAACTAAACCGAAGATCAGGAGATCTTGGAACCTCTGGAACCTACGGGACCCTGTGGAACTTGTGGAAGCGATAGAACTTGGGAACCGTTGAAACCTGTGTAACCTCCGGAACCTATGTTTCTTTGTAAAAGAAAATTAATGAGATAAAATTAAAACCAAAAGGACCTTAGAACTGTCTGAAAATTCGCTCTCTGGTATAGACGAGAATGCTTTTTAAAGAGAAATGTGTTTTAACTGTCTTTGACACCCAATTAAATTGATGTGACTTTCACAATACTAGTACAAGGGTATGAAATGTCTTTAGGAGCAATCAGCAGTCGCACAAAATTGAACAATAATTTGAAAGCTGTTACGGTCTGGGTACCTCCGGGTAGCCGAATAACGCCGCATCCGAAGGCTCTAAGAAAACCCATATGCTGGAACTCTTTGTACATAAACCTGGAACGAGGAACACGAGCGCAAGGTAACATCATCGCCCGTGTTTTTTCATTTATCATTTTTTCTTCCAAAAAAATGATGGATCTACAGATTCCTCTGGTTCTGGAGGTTCCGCGGTCTGTTGATCCATAGTTTAATATCACGCTTTTTTTTTCACGATTTTTAGAGATCTACGCTGAAGGAAACGCTTTCTAGTGAGACAGTTCACCTTGAGACTTACGTATCTAAAATCTACCAAATGTATTTCTGATAGTATTTTGTCTTGAAGTATTATTCGATGCCGAAAGAATCTTGAACAGTCTGAAAATATTTCGATTTACGCATGAGATCAATATCAATCGTGCTTTTACAAAGCTTATAATTTTGAGTGACGTTTATATTCCGACTCACACCTGACCTTTCATGCTTCATTCACCCCTTGTGACGTCATGTTACGATATAGATAAAGCATTCTAACAAGCACGAAACTGTTTTCGTAGAGTTTCCATATCGCAGGCTATCAGTGAATACCGGCTCTTGAACAGGACCGCCCTCAAGTCTATCTCCTACAAACAGGCAAGTTAAATATAATTTCAAGTTAGTGAGTTCGTCAATTATTCTATATCAAGTCAGTTGGTGATTTCACGTGTTAAATATTGACCTGTATTACTAACTTCCGGCCAGCAGGTCACACAATCAACTTCGTGGGAATCCATTGTCATTGAGAACAAATTCGGTCCAAGGAGGTTCGGAGATGGGAGAATCATGGGACGTAAACAATTTCAAACAAGGTCTTGGTGCCGAAAAGGGACAAAACTATAAACCCACCTTCGGCGCCATGAGGCAGTTATCCACTAATGAGAGAGGTGTTATTGCCGATGTGAAAGTTGTCGATGTTGAAAAACGCCGTAGCAAAGAACATTCCGGCAGCAAAAATTATGTACGTATTATATGGAGTCTTACGCCTCGCAACGTAGCTTTTTGACTCCTCCTCGTATCTTACTGTTTCATTGATTGAAAAATTAATTTGAAATGGAGAAATTCCCTTTCGTTTACACACCCTTTGGCATAACTTTGCAGGAATACGTTTTGAAAGTTAGATGGCTGGACGAGAACCAATATTGCATATTTCGTCGTTACAGTATGTTCTTCGATCTACAGGTAGGTTGAGTTCGAGTTTTAAAGTTAAGCATTGCTTATCGTCGTTGTATCAGGTATACTTCATTTTTCGTGGTTAATGAAACCTTGGTTTACGTGTATGGAAACGTGCAATCATGATTAGCTGATCCACTGGAGAATTGAAAACAATTTGCGAGCTGGCAAACGCAAATGTGTCACTTCTATTTTGAACTCTCTGGTCGAAGGTTTTAAACATTTATTTATCTTTTAAATGCTTCCTGTCACGGCATGTAATTCGTGTTAAAGTTACCAACTGTCTTTAAAGTAATCAATGCTACACTTTCTTACCAAAAGGTCAAACTAATCAAAACTTTACTTTTAATAAGTTAATGAAGGACAATTCGTAGATGTGTTACCAGTGGTTACATTTGTTTGTAAACATGTTGTTTATTCCGGAAGAGGCCAAGAAATAATTATTTTAATGATTACGCTTGACCCCAACTCATGAGGCAATCAATTTGAAAATTCAACGTCCCCCCCTCTGGCCACCCACAGTGCCGTAAAAAATCACCCTCGACTCAAACATGAGTCATACACAAAGACCTGACCCAAACAATCCAATAAATTAGCATAACAATTGCCTGAATTCCGTTAGGAAAACCGAGTTTACAAAACTAGTTCAAGTTATGTTCAAGTTTCGTCAGTTTTCAGCGCATTCTTCGTCAACAAAAAAGTTTGAAATAATAAATTTTAAGTGGCTTAAACATAAAGCCACTGGAGCTGATTTCTATTGTGTCTTCTAATCTGTAAAGCAGACATTTTTTCTTACAGCTTCGCTGCTGTTTACGGTGCTGAGCTTTTGTTGTCATCGAACGATTTCAGTTACTCAGTCATCCAACAAATGCTGTTGTCTCGCGCGGTCTTGTTTGTTACGTGCGATCCTTCGAAGCTCTTCGGTGTTTCTTCGGTCCAATAAATCTCCTTTCAAACTCAACATGAAGATTAGGGGTAGTTAAATGCAGGAAGATTTCAGTTTCGATGCGATTTACAAAATATGGTTAAATATTTCTCTAGTAAAGAAGAAGAGCTCGTGTATACTGAAATCGTGGTGATATAAACAAGTGCCAATAAACTTAACGGCACACGGTTACATTTTGCTCTGCAGTTTTTTTAATTCACCGTGTTTCTAACACATCCTCAGAAATAAGAGATTACTTTTTTGGGAAATTTCTATTAGTCTGAATTCTACTTCTTTAACTAGAAGTGATGAAAAATGCGATTTTTGACCTTGAAAAAGGAGGGTCGACTTATACACGAGTAAATACGGTATTTGACTACCATCCTTGCCCAGTGGGGAATTTATACTGGATGTGTCAAGTGGTTTCAGCACAAACACATGTTTTATCTTTTCATATGGAGAAGTTTAGAGGTATAGCGTTGACTTTTGCCATGGCCAATGGCCAAGAAGAATAGTACCCTTTTTTAAAAGCTTGTTAAATGTGTAGAGAGTCACTATCGCTGATTTTGCACCTATACAAAAAGACAAATTGACCATCATTGGGTGGGGCATTTGAGCACAAGTTTTGCACCAGGAGGCAGGAATTTGATTGAAACAATCTACATTGCCTGGTGGAGGGAATGTTGAATCTTTGATTTGATGGACTGTAATCTGTTGTTCGACTGAACTCTATTGCAAGGGAAATTCTGAATTAATTCCTTGATAATTATTTGCATGCTGTGTGCAGCACTCAGATGAAAGTTGGCTTCAAGTTGTCAATTTTATCCTTCCTTTCTTTCATTATTTGACAACAACGTTTTCTTGGATAACCTTATAAAAAATACAGTTTTGTTTTAGACTTACATGACTGTGGCTGTAGGCAAATGGCTCTCAGAATATTTTTACGAATCCAGAGTGATTTCATCATGCATCATTCTTAACTGAAAGGGAGGCAAACAGCGATGTCAAAGACTGGACTATTCTGTGGAATTAAACATTATGCATATTACCTTGATATAATTTCAATATTGACAGGCTGGTCTGCGACAACTTTTCCAAGAAAAACAACATATCACAATTCCGGAATTGCCTGGTAAGAGGATTTTATTTTGATTCTGGGAAGGTGGAAATGAATAAAACTCAGCTATTAGAAGTCTATTTAACACTAGAGTGTGAATCTCAGAATAGCTAGAAAATTTTTAGAATTCATTTATTTGATTGGTTAAGTAATCTGGCATGATTCCTTGTCACTGAAGGTATTGCATCCATTAGGAAATTTTTGAGTAGAATACAGCTCTGAATTTATTTGATCAACTTTTTGCTGTTAATATTAATTTGAATAAAAGGTAAGCTGTTTATTTCATTGCCCATCTCAATTCTGTATTGAGACAGTCATATTTGAAAAAATTATCCAAAAAAAGGAGGGAAAAATGTGCTTAAATTATTTTCAATGAGCTTAACTCTTATTCTAAAAAATTGCATTTTAGGACTGCTAAAATACTATGTAGAAAATTTAGACATGCAAAGTTATTTGTCTTTAGCTCTCCTTTTCCCTTTTTGCATTTATCTTGGACAATGTTATTGCAGTAAGGAGTGTATATTTTTGAACAGTTGCTCGTTTTGCTGGGGGAATGTTGTTTGGAGCATTAGCGAAGAAACAGTGTAAACACATTGAAGAATTCTGCCAGGTATGCTTACTTTGAGATCTTGAACAATTAATGTTACCACAAGCAGAGTAGAAAGTTTATGTTTCTTTTCAAAAATAGATTCACTTATTATTATTATTATTATTATTATTATTATTATTGACATCATAATTACTCATTTGATTATGATTCACTATGGCATCATATCCCAACTAGTAATTAACTCAAGCTTTTTCTTTATGTTTACATTTTATTTTTGTTTTCCACAATCCAACATCAAAGCTTTTATAGTTAAGATTGTGGTCTTGAAGTTCTATATTGGGTTGAGTTTTCCAAATACAGACATGCACGCACCAATTTGAATTCCTAAATATTTCTTTAGATAAACAACCTCATATGTCAGATGATTGGCTGTAAACTAAGATTGTGAAATATGAATGTCATGTGGAAATCCAGTGCCACATTCTAGAAACTTCAGAGTAATGTCCTATAAAACTTTTATGTTGCAATGTTAAACTTCAATATAGCTTTGAGAAACTTAATGTTACTTCCCACTTTTGTGGGCGTCTTTCAGGAGAAAATATGTTCGCACGCTAGTTTCACTAAAATCCTCGCAAACTATATATCAGAAAAAAGCTTTATAAGTGCAGTTTCTGATAAAAATATGCTTTAAGCAAGTTTTTCTTCTAGGAAGTGTCAGGAGCCAGTAAACTGACCTAGGGTTCTTCTATTGAATTTATTGGGTATGGCAGCATAAGCAAAATGGCTGTACAGTCTTATTCACAAAGCATCAATCAACAGGAGTGTGTCAGGCTTTTCCAATATTCTGATTGGTTGTCTAGATATCAGCAACTTAAGTGCCTAAATGGATGCCATGAGACAAACATTTCAAATATCAAAATTTCACAACACCCTTCTGTTTGTCATTATTCCTGGAATGTTTTAGCAAAATTTAAAGACAATTGGTCAAATCTAAGTACCCTATAAATTCGCTTAAAGCAGATGTATTTGTCCCAAAATCAAATGCAAGATTTTAGCTCATAAAGGGTCACAAACAACTCGTGCCATGCCAGGAGATTATCTTGCCTCCTGTAACTACAAACCAATGTGACAACGAGACCCCCATTACATCAATGATGATGGATGAAGATTTCTTGGGAAAAGTGACCCATTGCAGACACATTTTTTTAATCTCTACTGCTCAGTGGAGTGTTGAGGAGGACCATGCAATAATGGGCAAAGTTGCCAAAGGCAAAGGAAAAACCAGTGGCAAAAATGGAAAAACTAGGAAATGTGTTGAGAAACAAGACAATGAATCGACAGACAGCTTTCAAAATGGGGATTGTTAATGTTTTTTGTATCAAGGCTAGTAGCATAAATAAAAGGAAACCTCGTTTTTAACATCATGTTTGACAAATTTAGGTTTGACAGAGACTTCTTTGTTCGAAATCTGGATGCCAGTGTGTGGAGCTCCACCAATACCAGTCACTTTCACAAAGGATTTTTTTCTTTTCTTGACAGAATGGTACTCTTTCTCATTTCGTTGGGCCTGTTTTTTCTTTGGTTTTTTTACTGGACTTTCTTTCACTTTTGATTTTTCCATGAGTAAAGATTTTCCCATAAGCAAAGAGCTTCCACATGTGAATTTTGTGAAGTGCCCAATGCAAACAAAATATGCAAATAATTTGAAAAACGAGCCCCCAGTGTGGGTTGCTTTGAAAATTCCCTTAGGGAACTTGCCCAGGTACAAGATAATGACACCTTCCGGATTTATTAACTTTTCTTCAACAATATGTTGTTTTTAACAACTCAGGTACTAAAGATTTCAGAACTTTTTATATGAGCACGTTAGTTTAAATGTTTAACTTCAATTAGGTAAAATAAAAGAAAAAAACTATTTTTTGGCCTCTAAAGGTGGGAAGTAACATTATGTTGTTGAAGATTGTCATTTTCTTGAATATGTTATTTGTTTCATCCTCAGAACATTCACCAAATCATTAATTTGGTAGTTTCATAGTCAGGGCCTTTGATCTCTTTTAGAGGAACCTGGCAGAGCTGACAATTAACTGTTAGGGAAACTTGATGAAATGCTGGGGAGTAACCAATGATAGACTGTCATCCCATCCAGGGGTGGAAAAACATTATTCCTAGTTCCTTAGTGCTGTAAAAATGGGAATAGGCTCTGACTGAATGAGCCACTTGGCTCAAGTAGATACTTAATCTTGTTTACCCTTTGCTTGGTTTATATTCATAACCTGAGGCAAGTATATTTACCAGAATGACCCCTTGTGCTTGGTTAGTAAGAAGTTATTATTTCTGTGGGTTATGATATTTTCTTTGAATTTAACTGTCATAGTTGTCTCAAGTTCCCAGTCATCAATGTCATCAGATTAACCCTTTAATTTTGTGGTTTGTGCCATGAAAATCCAACCTAGCATCATAATTATAATATACAGTGTCTGAAAATCTTGTGCATCTTTTAGAGAGTGATTCAGCTACCACCTGTTGTGTCTCAGTCAGACACTGTCCTGCAGTTCTTCAGCCAGTGGGGAACAGATGCATTTGTGAGGATTGAATCAAATGAAAAATGGTAAGCCCAGCACAGCTGCTGCTACTGATGATGGCCAAAAAAAGATAGCATTTTTATGTTAACATTCTGCAAAAAATCCCAGAGTTCATCATGCAAAGTTGAAATCTAATTACGAATTTGAAACCAATTTATATCACTCTATACATTATTGCTAATTCAGTATTTTTTGACTGTTTATTCTGTTAACTTCTAAAAGTACCAAGCTGCCAAATTCTCATTTTGGAAGAAGTGAGGAACAGCTTGTTGAGAGATACCAGTCAGTGGCAGAATTTACTGGTGGAGGAAGGGGAGAGATGAGCTTGAGAGAAAATGAAATGGTAACAGTCATTGAAAAAAACAATACAGGTTTGAATTATTTCTTGACCTTATTACAATTTGAATTGGCATAGAATAGAAAACTGCAGGAGATCAGTACATGCATGTTAGAAAGTGTAATAAGGATTTTAACAACCATAGAAAGAGCAAGGTGGAAGGAGTCCAGAGTGAAATGAACAAAAAGACATGTTTTAGAAAAAGTGAGAGAAATGTCCTAATGCAAAATAGTTCATTCAAAATGTTTCCCCACAAATTGGAGAGGAAAGAGTTTGTATTCACGATGAAATGCCAGGGCTGGGTATCAGAGATATAGACAGTAATTGTTGTTATTGTTGCCCCTGTTGTTCCTTTTGTTAACTGGGTAAGGTTTTCTCACTTCTGGCATTTATATTAGAATTGACTTTCTAAATTTACTTTGCTTGATGTCCAATTGTTTTAATAGGTTGGTGGCTTGTTGCAAATGCAAGAGGGGAGCATGGTTTTGCTCCAGCAACATTTCTTGAACCAGTAGACTCTGGGCGACGCACAGAAGAGGAGGAATGGAGAGACGTTGAGGAGGATGAGCGTAAGTTCTTGTGTGACCTCTGACAAACCATAGGGAACTTAACATTAAATTACTTAATTCTTGTTCATTTTTTCCTGACAATTTATTATGTTTAAGATTTAAAGTTTGTCTCCAAAGGTTAATAGAGTAGCTGGCCATATTTTATTGTATTCTGGTTCTGCCTCAAGTCTGGGTTCTCTGTATCTTAGAGCCACTTGCATTGTTTGCTGCTCCTTCAGCCTGATGGGAAACTGGTTTACCATAGAAGGTTATCAGCTTCAAAAATTTGTGATTTTCAATTGCTCATGCTTTCAACCTCCTGCTAGTTTTTAAATTTTAGGATACTTGAATGGCTGACAATGTTATTTTAATGTTACAATCTGTCAAAATGAAAGTGCATTTATTTATTTTATTTATTTATTTATTTAAGGATTTATACAAAGCAGTACCACAGCAAAAACAATAGGACATAAGTCTCCTACTAAGTTTAAGCTCCAACCCAACCCCCTCCTAAAATAACTTAATAATTCTCAGTTAATCAATTAATTAATGTATCTCAATTAAATTAACAAAACCAAGCAAGGGAATGGGTAACTCCAGTCATATCCTTGGAATGTAGAGAAATGTGCATATTCTAATTTGGGAGTTTTCCCTTGCTAAATAATTCCCCTAGATAATGACTGCAAATATATGAAAATCATAGATGTGTACTGCGGTTGTAGAAACGAATATAGAAGCGATCCTTGCAGCCTCCTACTTGACTGCTGAATACAGGTCACCTATGTGATGGCTCTGGTTGAAAACTTAGTCACTGCAATTTTTTTCCTCTTTCTATTGGCCACCAAAATGGTTGCTGCTCAGAGCCCTGGCCAGTGAAATCACTATTTTGCCACATAATAGTTTTTACCATTCCTACTGAAATCTCTGTTTTGCATGCAGGAGACTGAAAGTATGCATGACCTGAGTTCTTCTCAGAGCCTTAAATTCTATCATAGTTTTACACACTTTTACACGTATATTCAAAACTCATAGGATGTAAATCTTTTTTGGTCCATAAGAATTACAAAATGAAGAGCTATCCCTGTTATTTTTATTTTTGAATTATTGCATTAAGTTCCCCTCCCCTCCCCTCCCCCCTCCTTAACTATGCTCCTCTTGACCAAGTCCTTTTACTTTTACTGCAGGTTTTTGGGTTGCAATTGAGTCATACTCAGCTAAGAGTGATGATGAACTAACTTACAGAGCTGGAGAAGAAGTTGAAGTTCTGGCCACCAGCAACTTTGGTTGGTGGAAGATAAAGTATGTTATTTGAAGAATAGCTGGAGTATAGCCACTTTTGCTTTGCAAACCTTTTTTTTTTCCGGGCAAGTTCAGTTCAATGAAAATGTTTTGTACCTCTGTTTAGAATAAAAGGAAAAGTTGGTCTTACACCTGGATCCAATCTGGTTCAAGCCAAGCCAAGTGCAGATCCTCTCTTATCTGATGACCAACAAAAGAAAAGGGTGAGTGGAATTGTCTTAATGTGCAACAACTGCAATATAAATGAATGCAATTAATGCTTCTTTTAATGCAGTATTTCTTTTTTTCTCTGCAAAAGTTATCTGACAATCTGTAATATAATATTCTTAAATAATCTCAGTAATTGAGATAACTGACTGCACTGTCCGTTTTCTTATCAGGGTTCTTCATATTCAAGCATCAGTGGCATATATGCAAGTATAAGGTCACCTCCCCCTAGAAGGTAAAACTAAACATGATGTGACGGCTCAAATGCTAAAAGGTTTTTGAAGACTATTATCAACATGTAGAACTTCTAAATTAAAAAAAAATTAAATCATTGAAAAATAATCTGTTACCACGATTGGCGGTAATGTCGCCATCTGATTGGCCAATCTGCCGGTTTTGATAAAAGTACAGACAATGCTGCTGGCGTCAACGTGTCACGCAATGCCTTTATCACTGAAAGAATCGTTGTATTTTACAAATTTTGACCACTATGATAACGAATCTCGTCGTCGATGAGAGTATAGACCACGCTAAACAACTTTCAATTTTTTTACCACGATACCGACGTCAAATAAAACGGCTATTATCGACAACGGCAAACTGGCCAATCAGATTGCGACATTACTACCAATTGTATAAAAAGTCTAATTGAATATTACATTGAGTTTGAAGAGGGAAATGCTTACCCTGAACAGAATGTTTCTGTTGTACAAGATTTAAGTTAAAAGTTTTTTACTTTTTATGTCAGGCAGATCCTGTCATATCTGCCAGCTTTCGAACTTTCTAATCAGCGCTGAGTGCCACTTGCCTTCGCCTGAAGTTTTTTTTCGATCTTGTAGCTTGAATATTCACTTCTGTGACTTCCAAATGGCTGAGAGATCAAGCGAAATGAAACTGTAGAAAAATACGTGAATATCTCTAACAATCGAAGGCATTTCAGCCACGTAAGGTCGGATATGTTCGCTTCTCGTACTGTCTACCGAGAGATTTTTGTCAAATTTAGTAGACATTTTACCCACTATTTTTCTCAATTATTCAGCTTGTCATTTCAATTCCATCTCTTCCTTTTCCCATAGCACCAAGTGGTTCTAAACACCCTAAACCCATATCCTTGTGCAACTCGCTGCAATCCTTTTTAAGGGATTAACCTTGCAACACGAAACTGTTCCCACGATGGTTGTCACCAAAACAAACCTCATAACCCGAAGTCGGTTCATCCTCTATCCGTTGAAAAAAAAATATAAAAAAACTAAAAATCGCGAGATGTGAGGCTTCTTGTGTTCTATTGCATATTTTGAAGGCCCTCTGCTATTTGAAATTCTTTTCACAGCTCACTACGAGAAGTTTTTTTGTGACATGGACTGAGACCGTAAAAAGAATACAACTACTTCTGGCGAGCCGGCTTTAACATCAAACAATCAACCGGAATTTCCTCATTTTAGCATTAAAATTAAAAAGGACAGACTAATCTGTAGGAAATGCAGGAAACATTTCCATGCGACCTTATTCGTTTGAATGGGGCATGTGAAAAAATTGGACGTTTTAGGAAATTGGCAGGTATAAATTTTATTCCTAAAAACTTTAGCTTGGGTGGTGTAGCTGTGACAGAGTTCATTGAGTACTTTTGAGGATAGGGTGAGTTTGAGACTCAGAAATGTACAGCATCTCTAGCTTGATATATACCATTGTGCAAAGGAGTGGCTAGGTTTTTTCAAGGGGAGGGGGGGGTGAGCACCTTACCAGGAGGAGCTTATACTGATCCTCTACTTTGTTTATAAACGGGTTCGTATTCATATGGCTAGAGGACCGGCAAATGGAGTGAGTAGCACTGGAAATGCCTTACATCTGATAGACTCTTCCGATTCTTTCGTTTTGCCAACAGTGCTTGCTTACTGATATCTTTGATATGACTATTAATCTTTTCATGATGTATTCTCAGAGATTCTAGCAAAACAAGGAAAAGAGAAGCTAACAACAATGAAGCCTCTGAAAAAGCGAGAGTTTCACGTTCGCAGTCCACACCTCGTAGGTTCATTTGTTTGCAGTATATGTTAATACGTAATTCTCATACTTTATATTTTTGTATTAGTGCTGTTGGCGTTGATGGAAAATTAATATATTTCAGAGGTTAAAAATATTCATGATTATTAACGTTTGGAACCAGCATTATGGTGCTGCTCCCAAATGCCAGCTATAAAGGACAATGCTTCTTTAATTAGTCAAGAGAAAGTCCTAAGTCAAGAATTGTTTTCTCTTAATACCTAGTAGCTACTTGATTACACCTTTTGAGGACCTGCGTGAATTACCTAACCTCTCTTTTGGTTTCACCCTTATTCGAGTTCATTTTCTCTTTGTATTAGCCTCAGTTCACTTCGATTCTCTAATCCACTGAATTTAACAAGAAGCTTTCTAATTGAAAGGAATGGTAGTATTTATTTAATTTGCTATCCTTTCTTTCAAGATGCATTAGAGTATGCTACAGTGGAGATATTGTCAAGTTCCCCATCAGCCAACAGAAATCTTCAGTTTAGTTTTGAAGACTCCAGGTAATATATAACACGCCAGTTGGTCCCCATAGAACGGGAATCTTTGATCATATAATTTTTTTAAACATATGTCGACATGATCGACTGTTTATATTCATTTTTGTGGTTAGAGGGGCGGGGTAAACTCATTTTTGGTAATTACTACAACTATGTTAAGCAGTTACACTGTATTTGTTCGGATTTATGCCCAAATAGCAAATACACAGGCTGCATTTACTCTGTGCTTTGCCGAACAAAAACTAACAGAATGGGCAATCTCAATATGAAATGACTAAGACTGAATTGCCTCATCAGCAACTCTGTTCTTCTGTGCCCTACTGTTTCCCGCTCTTTGAGATTTCAAACAGTTGCATCACCTTTTGAAAATTTTCTTCAAATGTGCTGAAAACTTGACTACTGACGCCGCCATTATGAATAAACAATCAGGTTACAAAGGTCTTTCGAAGCTTAAAATAAGTGCATTGTTGTTATTTCGTTTTCACTATTTAATGGTGGAGATGAAAACATAATCTCTGGATTTCATTTTTAAATTAAATTCAGAAATCATGTTTAACTCCTCCGGCTCGACTGATCATTTGCCTGGGAAACCAGGTGTGCAGCATAACTAAACAGAGCAAGGCAAAAAGATATCCTGTAGGTAAAGTAATGCGCACGTTATCTGTTTTCCTTTCAGTGAAACTGTTCCTCAATATGCTTCCGTTATTCCAAAGCATCTAAGGTAAGATATATTTGGTGACTAGAGAGGTTCTTACCGAGATTGTTACAAAATCATTTTTCTGTAGAGATGTCTTGATTGTACCATAGTTTCGGTTGTACTATAGTCTCATTTGTACTATGGCGTGTAGATGCAGTAAATCAATAACACTAACTTATTCAATGGCAAGTATGTGCGATACAAAGTAGACGAAGAGCGAGAAACTTTTGATTCATCAAGAAATAATATGGTTTTATGGGATTTTAAACTCGTCACGATATTCGTATTTTTGGTTTAATCACTTTCCTGTCACGACTGGTTGTCACGATGATAGCTTTAAAGGTAATGAGGCTCGGGTTGTGTCTATAGGTTTTAGGCAGTTTACTTACAGCTCAAACGATCTTTCCTCATCAAAGTGCTCCAGCACCTTTCTTAAGGTCCCTGTGGCTCCATAATTTGTGTTTGTTTGCTTGTTTTTCTTTTCTTTTTCCTTTTTTTAAATGAAATCCACGGAAGTGTCTACACTAATACGCCCAAGGTTGTTTTCCAGCCTCCTTGGGACTGCTACTAATGCCCCCAGTACCTCTTGTTACCTCCCCAACACCTGAGTAGTTTGCGACTGCACAGGTCTTCTTATTTTTTGCCATTTCCGTTTGCCTCAAATTGGCCTTCCTGGGTTGTCATTATTATTAGGCTGTTATTTTTATTATTATTAGTATTAGTATTATTAATGTCATTATTTTTGCGAAATTTGAAGAAAGCAAATGAATCATCCATATCTTTTATTGATTATCACTGCAAGGTTAGTCGTGCAATGGTGTTTTTTTTAGGGAGGGGACAAAATGTGCTATGGGCAACTCGAAAATATATGAGGCTATTGCAAAAGTGCAAACATGATAAGGTTCGATACTCAGTAAACAGAAATTTAAGAAACGAAAATACTTACTTGTTTTTTTAGTGAGCAGATAACAAGTGATATGTCTATGATGAAGTTTCACTCGGTTGGGTGGTTATGGCTGACTACTACATTAACCAACTGAGCTCATCATATTTTGTTCAATGTATCCAAGTATTTTCCATAGTTTCTTTTTGATTTTTCTATTTTGTTTATCAATATAGATTTTTTTTTTCTTCTGTCTTTAGACTGAACAGATCCCACAGTATGAGTGAAGATGGGTCAGAAATCAGAAGACCGGTAATGAACAGTCAACTCCTTATGAACTTGTGCCGCTAAGTTTGTTACTTTGTGTTTTCGGTTGTGATTGTGACATGTTATCCCTCCATTCACTGCATTCCTCAACAATATCACAGAAAAGAAATATGGACATTTTTATTTTCCAGCAGAAGCGGAATGGCTGCCCAAACCTCCCGTCCACTCCACCGCTGGTTTCTCTACGCAACTCTAACTCTCGCAGTGTAGACCATGATGACATGAGTTATGCGAGAGTGCATGAGTTCAGACAACCGCCACTTACTAGTACCCCAAGGGTGCGTTTATTGCAACCCCCGGACGAGGGACTCGTCAGATTTGGCTCCCACAAATACGAGAATGTTCTTAGAGCTGATCTTCATGTTGGGACAGTAAGTTATGAGCGCGACATGTGGTATGCGTTCTCATAACATTGTTGACTAAGTAACTGTGAGCTATGGCTTGACTTATTCCTCGAGATATAAACCAGTTAAACAAATTTATAGGCAGGTTGAACCTGAATGGTTTAATAATACGTTGAAGAGCATAGAAACCCTGTGGAATCCTGTAGATCTTTTGAAGTCTGAAATTATGTGGGTTTATACGATGAGCTTCCTGATTTCACTGTCATGTCTACTGATCTTGACTAGGACTTATACTGATGTTCTTGTTTTGGCTGTCTTAGTCAAAGATTGGTTCGGTTGATCGGAAGTATTATGTACGTTGTTGATCATTTGTTAAAAAGTTTAGCTTAGTGTTATAATAACAAAAGTTTAATCTTCTAAGTTCACTTGGTCCGCTAGCGCACTCGTGCCACTCATGCTTGTATGGCGCATATATAAGCGTGTATTTTGGAGTTCATAGTCAGTCTGTTTGGGTCAGAGTAAGAGTCAGTCACTAATGGTTAAAGGGGGAAAAAGTGCGCGAAGTAAAGCTACTGTGAAGCAGAATTGTAACAGATAACATAGAAGACTGAAAGGGACTGGTCTTGAGTCCTTGGTGTCTTACGTTAAGCGTGTTACTCTCTGCAGTTCATCTCCCTCTATTCATGTCGCAACATTTCTTGCAAAAAAATAAATAAATAAAAAAACGGTTAAACACGAGCAATCTTCATTTCAGACTTACTGTTGTTAATCTTATTTCAATCTCATTTTAGCCCGGGGAGCATTATGTGGCTATCACAAACTACGCACCTCCACCAGATCGCAATGAAGATCTGCCCCTAACAGCGACAGAAGAGGTACGCCTTCTCTGTGAGGATGGCGCCTGGTCATTCGTTTGTACAGTAGACGCAACCAAAAGGAGTGGATGGGTGCCGACTTCATTGTTGAAGAGCAAGGAAGTTTCCCATTACAACATGACGAGGAGGTCCAAATCTGTTGGGGACATCTACAACGCTTATGAAGAGGAAGAAGCGGCAGCTCGTGGAGCTCCTCCGTCTCAGATGGTGCAGAAGCCTCCTGTACCAACACCTAGGAGTGATCTTGAGCAGAAGAAGACTTCAGTGGATGTAACTGGTGCCCCAAGCGAAGAAGCGCCTCCACTGCCTGGTGCCCCACCAGATTACATCCGGAAGTCTGGTAAGACACCGACGCCCTGTTTTCTGTTTTCTTGTTTCACAGATACCATATACGTAATGCAAGGCTAACTAAACAGACTTTTTATCTGTCTCTCTTTCGGCGCGCTTCATATTGTTGAGCACATCAACTGCGGAAAAAGTCCTACAAGAACGCGTAAGGGTGAGCTTCGCTGAAATAGGAGTAGTTCAGCCAAGAAAGTTTACGACTGGTTGGCCGAGATGTCGAGTCACGCTAATCGAGACGTTCCTGTCGAAGATGCGCGATGTGGGTTGTAACCCTGCGAGTGACTTGCAGGGGAAGTATTGTCCTCATCGCTTGATTCGCTTCATGATACTGAAAGCTTTGTGGCTTGTAGGCTGAATTTAAGTTGCTGTACAGACGAGTGCACTTCAGCTGACTACAATGAAAGCGATGGGAATGGAAAACGGCTGAATTTCTCAGTCATAGAACAATCAACAGCTTTAACGGTTGTCAAGTGACCATCAACAGCAAAAAAACTTGGCTGAACATGCCTCTCGCAAGATCGGTTAAGCGTTAGACCCTTATTAATGACGTTTGCGCAGTTTCCGTCTCTGTTGAATGAGTGCGATTTTTGAGCGGCTTTATGTTTTATCATATTTTGTTATTAAAGAAATTGTTTACCGGTTTAGAGACAAAGATATGTGCTTTGTATACTAAATTTGCCTCGTAGCACAAATACAAAGATTGTGTATTGTGAGGTGTTTGGGACTAAGACCCGCTCGTATAATCTCCAATATCACGGGCCGCTTTAATGATATTTTGGTAACTTTTGAAATATCAAAATTCCCCCAGAGACCGTTCTATTTCTGGTGTTAAGTGACTTTAAGTCCCCTTTTGAGTCCTTCTGAGGAAAGACTTCTTTCTTCCAGGAAAGGTGAACGAACACTACTTCGCGCGGGAAGACTTTACAACAAAAAATTCAAACTGCATCTCGGTGCGCAAAGGTGAAGTAGGCCAGTTATTAGCAGTACAGTCCTTGGGTTGGTGGAAAATGAATGTAGAGGGTGTGGTCGGATGGACTCCAGGCGATTTCTGGGAACTGCTACAGGATGAGGTACTATAATGTTAATGTTAGTCCATTCTGAAAATAAACCACATCTATAAGCTGTTTTCTTGAACCAAAATGTTAATTTAAGACAAAGACAACCTCCAGTTTTAAAGGCTCGGTGATCAGCCGTTGTAATAAGTTTCTTTCGAGACGGAGATTTTGTGAAACAAGAACTCATAAAAAGACAGAGGTTTTCAAAAGGAGGGACCTCTTAGATAAGAAAGCTCAAATTTTAGGGGAAGATGAAAAAATATTTCTTTTCAAATCGCTCCCATTGTTACTTAGTTAGATTAAGGTATGGACTAACGGCGGACTAACGGAAGATGGAGGTGGGCGGGTGAGTCATTCCCTTCTTCGCGCTCCGCTAGAAATCTAAGTGTGAGTGAAGTGGACGAATCTTCTTTCTTCTATTTTGATCTCTTTCGTTACTGGGGCGAAAAATGATCACCAAGTTGAGAAACTGTATTGTTGAGGTATTGAATTTTGCACATCACTATAAGTGCTGTGAATCAGGACGTCAAATTACAGAAGCTTGATGGTGAAGTGACTGAGGAACACAAAAGTGGGGTGTCGTTACTGACTCAACTCTTTCAGTAGCAGGCAGACTTCAATTAAGACTGTTGAGCACTGCGTCACTTAAACACTGCGTCACACACACTACTCGCTAAAAAACGGATGGATTCTCATTCGCCAACAAATGGATGGCCATTTCGGCATTTCTACGATTACTGTCAGTAATAGATGTTGAAATTTTCCATTCGTTACTTGTAGGAAGAAACTCTCAACGAAATGCCTCCAAAGAGCAAGCAGCGAGAAAGGCACAGTTCTTTCGGTAAGTCATGTTGTTAGATGTCTTAGTTGGTGTAAAATTCCGTCAGAATATTCCAAGAACAATTGCCAAAACAATTTCCCTTTTTGTGGAAGCATGTGTATCTGATGCTTGTGTTATTTGTGCTGTCACAGGAGACGAGTTGTGGTATTACGGGAAAATGTCACGTCAGAAGTGCGAGGAACTTATGATGAGAGTAAGATATAAATATGTTCAATTTTTTAATGTTAACTCATACTGATACAGGAAAACCGATCCAAAACGACAACACGGCAACACGAATGTATAATGTTTTGTGCACTGGTTCGCTAAAAAGAATACGATCGTACTGAGAGTCGATGAAAACATCTGTCTGAACTGACGGCTTGCAGGCCTGTGGTGGACATAGTTCTTCCATATTTTTATTGTCTTTTTTTTTAATCTAACATTGGTTGTTATGTCGAATTGACAGTTGATGTTATGGTAAAGTGAAAGGAAGTTATTGTGCATAACAGAATAACTAAAATGATGAAATTTTGTAATTTTGATTTGTTTTCTGTCCAACAGAGCGCCAAAGAACTCGACTACTTGATACGAGAGAGCACTCAGAAGGTAAAAAGAATTAAAACAGACAATAAAAATGTCCCTATTTCCTTTCTAGCGAGCGTGAATTCTTGCCCTCACCGACTTTTTTTTCGTATTTTTAGTTTGCTTCTTTCGTGCTATCGGTCAAGTATGGCGGAAAGTAAGTACTATTTCATTTTCTCGCTTAGTTCTGCAATTTCGTAATTTTGCTACAAGGGTTAGCGTCGTCTAATTTATCGCTAGACGTATCGGTAATAAATGAGAACCAGAGAAAAGCTGACGTTCGGCAATTCAAGTCAAATTATATTTATTATTATTGTTATTACTATTATTGTTATTATTATCATTGTTGTTGTTGTTATTATTATCACTACCATTGCATTTTCGTTAATGTTTCCTTTTTCCTGTTTTAAACTTTAGGATTCGCCATTTTCCCATAGAACTGACACCAAGCGGTCGTTACGTTATTGGCAAGCATGCGTTCGATGGTTTGACGGAAATTGTAACATTTTACAAGACCCACGCGTTGTTTTACACGCAGAACAAAGAAGCGATCACCCTTGGGGAATCATTCCGAGGGATGTAGAACTTGTGTTAGTGATATACTGTCCTCATTACGACAGTGGTACGACCCTACATGCAAGTGTCGTGAAATTGTACAACACCCAATATATTCTCGTGAATGGATCTTTTAAGTTCTACATCAAGAGATAATTGAAGCAGAGAAAGTTTTAATCAGGATGTTTGCTGATATCGATTCCATTTTAATACCTTTTGGTTTCTCAAGACGATCGTATTGTGAATCCTAGTCCAAGAAGTACCATTTTTCGGCCCTATCTAAACCCGTAGATGACGGATATGACACTAAGATATCCCAAGGGACCTTCGGGCCAATGCATCGAGAGGCTCTCCGTTTGCCCCGTCTTTAACAATTTTATCAACTGACTTTCACTAAATTTGCAGCACATTTATCTCACAAGAAAACCACTCATTGAAAACGTAAGAAAAAAATTATAACTTGGAGCTAATGAAAACAGACGTTTGTAAAAAACAATTAGAAATAATACATTTGAGAGGACATTTCCTCGCGTAAAAAAATGTAAAAAATATATATATTCTATGATGAATGCCCGAGGTAATTCACGTGTAACAATTTGCGCTGTTGCCTGAGATGTCAAATATTTTAATGAAATTAATATGAAGGTAGTTATTTAGAGATATTTTATTTGTGTACCTCTAAGCAACGCAAAAGTTCATGGAGCCAAAAGTGGTTTCTTTATAAAATTTTATAAAATTGTTGTTACTGGTATATGTTAAGGCTTTTTAAAGACGTCTGTTAAAAAAATGACGAATAAATGAATTTAACCCAAGTACTACCAGCGTTTGAATAAAAATAGTAACAGTGCCAAACTTACATGATTCTTTCACCTAATATGCCAGTTTTCAACTTCTTCATGGGAGCATCGAGAAAACATTTCAGGCTACTTTGGTTTGTGCTTTTTGCAACACAGACGTGTTAAAAGTCAAGATTTCATATACTTCCGTATTAATTGCATTAGAAATGACTGAGGTTACCTATTTACATCTTACAACAATCGGAGAGTTTGGTGAGATATTTCTTCCCAATCAGTGAGACTGTTAAGTGCAAAATAGTGAGAGCAGTTGAGTCATCTTGCTGGCTCCAGTTATATTTCAATGGGGAAGAAAGGGAGACCAAGTTCTTTTAAACCGATTTGAAGCTTTTAAAAGAATTTATTTGAAACTCCGTCCAACATGCATAGGTTAGATATGGAAAGTTGTCAAAAAAGAAAATATCTTGATGATAATAAGAAAAGGATCAAAATGTTAATCCAATTTCGAAAAAAGAAAAAAAAAGAACCGAAACCGTAGAAGAAATAATACCGAAGTGGAACAAAGAGATAACTGGTCAGAAAAGAGAAGACTCAAGGAAGGAAGAAAATAAAGTGATGTCAATAAGGGAGAAAAATAGAAAAGGTAGCGGATACTATGCGAAATTCCCGCCTTAAGCCAGTTGGAGAGCTACTCCTAGTCTGCCAGCTACAAATCCTACTCGGGGAGAAGCCAGAATAACTCCCATGGCGCCGGTGATTCGTACCCGCAACCTCGATGACCTCTGTTGTGCATGATACGCGAAAGCGTTTGCCACTGAACCATCGGGAAACTGCTAGTTATATTAACATAATTTGTCGGTGTGTAGAGTTTTTAAATATTGGGAGGGAGAGGGTGGAGGAATGAGGACGTTGTCTGACCGAGAATACAACTGAGCGTTTTCGGTCACGAGTAAAGGAAATGAATCCGACAAAAAACTAATATGAGCGATATAAACAAAGAATCAGAATATGTCGTAACTGTGGACAGCCTCGTTTACAGGGGCTCTTAGGACAACGACGCTGTAGCTACAGAAAGGGAGACTCGGAAACTATTCGAAGAATCTATTGAGGCACGATAGAAAAAATAGACTCCATGATGAAACATTTTACCGAACTAAAAAATTCTGAAGCTTTTTAACATTAAAACTTCGAAAACTTTGCTCGGTTGCCAAATGAAGGATACGCGCAGCACTCGCCCAACCTTAAAAAAATTGAGCGTGCACTTTAAGAGAAAGGAAGAGAAACGAAGCTGGGGAGCTGCTTCAATTACTCATGGCGGTGGGGACTGCCTGAAGATTTCGAGGCAGTCGACAGGGAGATTCATGTCTCAATTAAGGATAAAGATATCTCAAGAACTTATCTCCTTCTCCCCAAAGCTCAGATGCCCTTGCCAAGATGATTGTTGAATTTACTTGGAAGGCCCACAGAGGAAACCTCATGGAGATAAAGACGAACTTGTAGTCGGACCTACGTGGAAACATCTGCATATCCGAGTCTTGTAGACTATTGACAAATCCGTTTTTGAATTTGATCGTATTTTCCATACATAGACAAGTAAGCCTCCAGTTACTTCTAATTCTTTCTAGCGTAGCTTAATTCTACTTCTAATTGCTGCTTGCACATTAATATAACGATTTTGACTGGAAAAATTCCATTTGTGTCGAAGGAGGCCAAAGTCATTCCCATTTTTAAGAATCTCCAAATTTTTGGAGCGTGCGCTTTAAGTTGATCTACAGGCTTTTCATGAAGAAAACAATGTCTGATCAGTATTTAAGTCTGGTTTTCGCTAAAAACATTCTACTGAAACTGTTGTAGTTTTTACTTGGTTTACCATATATAAGAGCACATAAATAAACAACAGCTGACAGGTGCTGCCTTTATTGACCTAAAAAAGGCCTCCGTTCTTGTCCACCATCATTGCCTCCTTCACTACTATGGAGTCAGTTAGAGCAAATCCAGTTCGTTTAGAAATTATCTGACAAGTTATATTCAAAGAGTGGATGTTTCACTGATCCTGTGTTTTAACTGATCCTATGTTCTCACTGATCATATGTTCTCACTAATCCTATGTTCAAACCGATCTTATGTTCTCATTGATCCTATGTTCTTACTGATCCTATGTTCTCACTAATCCTATGTTCAAACCGATCCTATGTTCTCAATGATCCTATGTTCTCACTGATCCTATGTTCTCACTGATCCTATGTTCAAACTGATCCTATGTTCTTACTGATCCTATGTTCAAACTGATCCTATGTTCTCATTGATCCTATGTTCAAACTGATGTTATGTTCAAACTGATCCTATGTTCTCATTGATCCTATGTTCAAACTGATGTTATGTTCTTATTGATCCTATGTTCAAACTGGTGTTATGTTCTCACTGATCCTATGTTTAAACTGATCCTATGTTCTTATTGATCCTATGTTCAAACTGATGTTATGTTCTCATTGATCCTATGTTCAAACTGATCCTATGTTCTCATTGATCCTATGTTCAAACTGATGTTATGTTCTCACTGATCCTATGTTCAAATGGATCTTATGTTCTCATTGATCCTGTGTTCAAACTGATGTTATGTTCTCACTGATCCTATGTTCAAACTGATCCTGTGTTCTCAGTGATCCTATGTTCTCACTGATCCTATGTTCTCACTGATCCTATGTTCTCACTGATCCTTTGTTCTCACTGATCCTATTTTCTCACTGATCCTACATTCTCACTGATCCTATGTTCTCACTGATCCTATGTTCTCACTGATCCTATGTTCAAACTGATCCCATGTTCAAACTGATCTTATGTTCAAACTGATCCTATGTTCAAACTGATCCTATGTTCAAACCGATCCTATGTTCTCATTGATCCTATGTTCTTACTGATCCTATGTTCTCATTGATCCTATGTTCTCACTGATCCTATGTTCTCAATGATCCTATGTTCTCACTGATCCTATGTTCAAACTGATCCTATGTTCTTACTGATCCTATGTTCAAACTGATCCTATGTTCTCATTGATCCTATGTTCAAACTGATGTTATGTTCAAACTGATCCTATGTTCTCATTGATCCTATGTTTAAACTGATGTTGTTCTCATTGATCCTATGTTCAAACTGATGTTATGTTCTCACTGATCCTATGTTCTTACTGATCCTATGTTCTCATTGATCCTATGTTCAAACTGATGTTATGTTCTCAATGATCCTATGTTCTCACTGATCCTATGTTCAAACTGATCCTATGTTCTTACTGATCCTATGTTCAAACTGATCCTATGTTCTCATTGATCCTATGTTCAAACTGATGTTATGTTCTCATTGATCCTATGTTCGAAATGATGTTATGTTCAAACTGATCCTATGTTCTCATTGATCTTATGTTCAAACTGATGTTATATTCTCACTGATCCTATGTTCAAACTGATCATATGTTCGAACTGATCCTATGTTCAAACTGATCCTATGTTCGAACTGATCCTATGTTCAAACTGATCCTATGTTCTCACTGATCCTATGTTCTCACTGATCCTATGTTCTCACTGATCCTAAATTCTCACTGATCCTATCTTCTCACTGATCCTATCTTCTCACTGATCCTATGTTCTCACTGATCCTGTATTCTCACTGATCCTATGTTCTCATCGATCCTATGTTCTCACTGATCTTATTTTCAAACTGATCCTATGTTGTCACTACGTGCATACAGTTATTGTTCATAGAATCCTGGAAATGACAATCTTCGATTTATTTTCTTTCAGATCATGATCTTCACTCAAAATTTGCGTTTAGAAATGTAGCGGCACTTTTAACCATTAATTAAGCGTCTCAGATTGATGTACACTGACGAGTCCAAATCATTTGTTGGTATTTTACGTACCAGAGTTTTTTCCACGCTCATCAAATAGTTGTGAGGATTATTACAAATACGTTGTTGGTTTTTCATCTATTATTTCCTGTGGAAATTACGATAGTTAATGAATATGCAGTCCATAGTTACGAATAATTGGAAATCTTACATGAAAAAACAAGATACAAAAACTGGAACAGGTTGAATCGGTTCTTGACAGGTCAAGAACAGATTGATGGATAATCTATAAGACGTTGCGCCCATACGTCCAGATCTTCGTACATGTCAAAAGCTTTTATGGGCGTGATTCTCTCTGCTACTCTGCGATGTAATTTCTTCTTTCTCTGGAATAACTGAGTCCGTCAGTGCGTTTGTCGTTATCTTGGCGACTGCTAAGGCGACATTCTTAGTTTTTCTTTCTCTCATGATCATTTTCAAATGCAAACTCTACTTCGTTAAGCTTGAGCGACTACTACACCATAATTTGTTCGCCAGCCGAACCAGTGAAACAACGTTAAAAAGTCCATAAAAGTTTTGTCAAGGCGTCGATTGTTTTTTTAACGCTTTTCCCCCTTCTTTGAGAGGTGTCCCAATATCTACTGTACCAATCATGGCCGTCAGCCATTAATGCATGTGCTAATTCCATAGAACGCTAAGCTTAAATTTTTGTATATCATTATACGCTTGAGCACTTTTAATTGGTTTGGGGACTGAATAACTTCTCACCGGGTAAAAATTTTGAGTTGAGCTACTGCCAAATTGGTTCAAAGCCTGGAGGAAGTAAATCAATTGATTAGAGGTTGGATTATGGAATTAAAAGTTTTCTCAATGGGAGAAAAAATAATAAGTTTTAATTTCCTGATCTCCTATCCCACGCCATATAGAAATTTACATTGAACTAGCTCCTTGTGTAAGATCTTAGCGTGCGGAATGTGGTCAGTTGTTGATTAGGGTGTCTCTAGAGTGTTGCTACTGTTTCGCGTCGTCTCATTAAGTGTTTTTCCACCGGTTAGTTAGCTTCTTTTGTTTTCCATATCGCATGCTTTGGTTCATTATTGTTTTATTCATAATTATTGGCATCAAAAACACTTTCAGAGAGTCGCTTCGTATACATTAATTTTCAGTTTTTCCTGCGTATATAAACTTAGTTTTCTCTGTTAAGGGGGCCTTTCGTTTAGCAGTATCTACGTTACTCATTTCATCTTCAGACAGTGTTTTCTCGTCGAGCGCAAGGGCAGTTTTTGAGTAATCGTAACAATGTGAGTATCGTCGTTTCAAGTTGGCTCAGTGTATTTCTTTCTTATCACCTTTACTTAATCAATTGTTGTAATTTTGTATTTTTTGGTTTCAACCCTCATCGTTCTCCCAAATCAATAAATCGCTTTTTATCAGTTAATCGTGGTGTTGGAAAGTTACGGTTACTGCAGTCACACCTTGCATAAAGTACAAAGACGTCTATTGTCAGCCCAGTCTTTATTTAGTTTCAGCATCACCAGAAAAGCAGTTATAAGGACATTGGATAACGATAGAGGAAGTTTATAAGTTACAGATAGCATTGTTAACAAGTTCGGTTCAAGTTTGTTCTAATCGACTGAAAAACATCGCTACTATCATTTCATGCAACTTATTGCATACTGACGGTCAGGTTTTTATCATTTAGAAGTTCAAGCAACTTCATAGTCTTAATGAATAAATGGGAGATAAAATAATTGGTAATTATTTGATACATTATCCTTGCACGATCAGCTAGTATGGGGAATAAAAAAGGCATCAGAAACGATCGATAGACCTACGTTAACGGCTTCGATTACGATATCTGTACTAACCAGAACCAGAATTTCATTCATTAGCTTTAGTTATACAAAGTAGAGAAAAGAGTACAAATATCTATGATATGAAGTAAAACAGAACGCAGTGATTTTCAGCTCAGAGGCTCTAGGACTTCACCTTAATAGACGTAAAGGGCTTTGCGCGCATAAGGCTTGGGAATGAGCTGCACAGGAGTGTCAGAACAGTTCAAACAAAGAAATTATTCTAAAAGTGTTTTAGTACTACACATGCAAATAGGAAAGACATGACTCCTTGTGGGAAGCACACAAGATCACCACGACGTGAAGACCCTCTTTTATACATAGATTGAATAATTGCACTTTTCCTGGTTCCTTATCTCTTCCAAGGAGCCTTACCAAACATTTCATTTTATATATTTTGCCATCACTGTTTCACAACATAGACATTTGTGTCAATTCCTAGGCCGGATTTCCACTACTCTCTTTAGTCCGGTTTTCGTTCCTACCTGTGGAGCGTGGGCTCAATTTCCGAACGGAACCGGCTATCGAGTCTAGTGAATTCTTTTAAAAAGCAAACCGCGCCAGTTGACCAAAATTAGTCGAAAGAAATATCTCATGAAGTTTTGCACTATGATAAAGAACAGAGGATCTCTTTAAGTTTAAAGGATTAGGTTTAAGATTTAAGTTTGGTTCATGATTTTATTTTTGTCGATCATATATTCCAGACTGGGCAACTCCAATTAAGTCTGAAAAGGAAAAGTAGACGTGGTTAAAACTAACTTCGTGCATAAAGCTCCCACTTACTTCGGGTAAAAATGAGTTTTTTATCTGCACTTTTACTGATTCTCTTTTACCCCCAGTAAGGGATTTCCCTGGGTCCCATTACTTTTATCCTTTTCTAGACTAGGAGAAATACTTTAAGAGTAAAAACTATTAAAACAAGAAGTTGCTTCCGAAACCCATATGCATAGGAGCCTAGGGACTCATTCCACCCTGTCGTTTAAGCCCTTGGAGGGTTAACATTCTGATTTTGTCTCCAGCGTAATTATCTACCCATCTCCTATAACTATAATATTTGCTTGGAATTTATCTGGTACATATGTTGTAAGGATTTTTTTGAAGACAGGCTTCCTGAAGATGGTTGAAAACCGGCGTTCTAGAAATGCCGATGTAAAAACAAATGAAATAACCAGCCACTTTATAGAACCATAGTTATTGGTAGCTTGTCCATAGTGCCCGTCCGGCTCCATCTCTAACTGCTAACAAGTTTCTTTAGTACTTACCGCATTATTTACAGTATTCTGGGCAACTGCCGTGGCAATACCTCATAGCGAATCTCGTGTGCCTACCCTTGTCACACTGTTTATTTTTCCCAAGCATTTTGCACAATCCACTGAAAGCGTCAGCACAAACTGAAGCATGGAACACATTAATAGATTTTAATCATCATTTACTATTTGCATCGTTCTGGTCTTTGTTACTATTATAATTGTTATATCTTCTATCTAGTCTTTGCCCCGAAGATGTCTCGAAGACCTCTGAAAACTGCTGGTGGTGTTCTAAATCTCACTTCAAGTTCAATACTATGTTAAACTTCCCTTGAGGATGTAACTATAGGTATTCCAATGACTATGCGTATGTATTGGCAAGGATCTGTTGTGGCTTTATTGGTCAGTTAGTAGAAGAACTCCTATAGCAACCGACCGGTCGAGACGCCTGACGTCGTTTTTCAGGTTTTGTGTGTTACATTCGACTTTTTATTGCCTAAGTGCAGTTTACCTTGGAAATTTTAATTCTTCACCGAAGATAAAACATCATGAATGATTTATTTCGTATATCACTTGTGATATATATGTTGAAATTTTGATGTTCTTAGTCTCAACGTGTCATTTCTCACCCATTGAGTAGTTGAGGGGCAGCGCCAGGGGAGGCGTGACACCGCATGGTGTTAAAAGTTCATTTAGATGTTATTCTTTTTTGATTGGCCGATGCAGCTTGTTAGTTTGGCCTAATTACAAAGGAGTTACCTGCTCTTCTCGGAAAAGCGACATCCGAGGCAAGGTCTTCATAACTAAAATCTTCATCTGTAAACAGTGAATGTAGTTAGAATGGATTTGAGAATTAAATTGCATTGGATCTGATCTTCACGATAAGTTATCGATTTTTGCTAGTAGTGATGGTTAAAATCAATTTGACGGCTAGGCTAAAGGAGCGACTTTGGTATGAATTGAACCCTAGATCGCTTCTTTTTATGGTGTGGGGGGGGGGGGGGGGGGGGG